GAATTGTTTGTCATGGAACTTCGCATGGTGACATGGATAGCATGGCCCCGAAAGGAGGAGCATCTTGCGAAGACCCAAAGGTTTTTGTTTTCCACTTCCATGTGAGTTCCAGGGAGAGAAACCGTTTCGTCCAACACCCGCCACACGCGAGAAACCAAGAAACCGCGCAACCAACGGACCTGATAGACGGCGATGTCGCGCGATCGAAGAAACAGGATCGAGATGTTCTTCGTTTAGTTTCAAGAATAACATCTTAAAACCATATTGTTTTTTTAGAGGGGTGATATGTTGTGATATGTTACTCCGAACTGGGTGAAGCCCCTTACAAGACTTCGAATTTGGGGAATGGTTTGATGTTCTCATTCGGCTTCCTTCCTCAGCACATGTTTCCGGGATGGAGCTTTGGGATCCGATGATTGGAACCGCGAATCACTCTGAGCCAAGGTTGGAAGAAGGAGAGCTGTTGGCGGTGAAGCAGAAGGCATGAAGCTTTGAGTGTGTGACATGCAGATCGTGGTTCTTGACGTGCAAGCCGATGAGATTTCAGAGGATTAGACGTGTGGGCTGCCTCCTGTGCGGGCGGTTTCCGCAAGGTTGATCACCATGAAATCGTACCCCACAGTGTGTAGCAGAGCAAGTTCATTTTCCGAACCACATTCCTGGCAGTTTGCATGAATGGTCCTCTACCACTCAGTTTGCTCTAAGAATTGGCCAGCCTGCCAGTGATTTCCGTTTGTTTCCAGAGGATCGCCTCCACGAGGATCACCTCCACCACAATCAACTCCAGGTTTGCATCTCCAAAGATCAGTATAACCGTATAACCCTTCTGCCCCAACCTATCTCTGAGAAGGTCCAAGACGATCGGAGACACATACTTTTCACAGAGGCATCTAGGCTCCAAGTACCTCCCTGAGAAGCTCTGTGGATCCATAGGGTGCAGACATGCCCGGGCTCGGGCTCCCCCCCGCGGTCGCAGAGATCCACCAGGAACCCTACCAGTTGAAGTCCCCACGCATGTCGGAGCCCCGACTGCTCTACCGTAAAGGTGGATGACAGACTCCCCTTTAAGCAGTGTTTGCACTTTCATCCATTGCGCATCATCTTCGAATTATCTTCTAGCTGCTTTTGGGACCTCCTTGCGGGGTTGACTCACACCGCGGCCGCCAACGTCGGCGGCCGCCTCCGACGGTACGTCGCGCCACCGCGACGTCGACGTGGACCGCGAGGTCACCAAGACCATTCCGCCGCAAGTCATGATGCAGGCGACCGCAGCACCAGAGAGGAGAATGGCTGCTTTTTGTCCTATGGTCGCGCGGAAGTCCTGTGGGTAAGCAGATTCACGGGGGGATGAATAAAAATCGATGTTCCCTCAATTTTTTTTGCTGGTGTCCCCAAATTGAAGCACTTGGGAAGGCTCTCAATTGCCTTGTTGGAGCATCAGTACCCCCTTAGGTACCATTTTGGGGGAGGGACCTAAAAATATGTAATTTACAATTTTCGAGGGACCCCACAAATGTGTGTTGACCCCCCGTCGTTTTTGGCCCTATTTAATTAAGTCGAGGCCATATTCATGGTCCCCCCGGATTGCTGTGTGTTGCTTGCGTGTTCCTGGGAATTGACCAAGAAGATTTGATGTAAGAAGGTAAATTCCTAGCTTATAGCCTTACTGCAGCCTTCCTAGCTTACAGCAGCTTGCTTGCTTGCGTAATACCAGGTAAATTCTTAAGTTCCTATGGCTCTTTAGATTGCTTTTCTATGGTTTTCTGGTGGCCTAACCCAAGGCAGCTTACATTGTCCTGTCTTTGAGGGTGATCTGATCTGAAACAAATGCAAGATAATTTAAGCATATGTAAGTGAATCTTTTAAGGCTAATTAAAAACACATAAAATAAAACAAAAATAATTCACAAAAAAACAATGTACGCTTACATTTTTTGACGTTCACTTTCCAGGCGCCCCCCAGATATCCCCAGATATTGTAACTTACATTTGTTAGGTCCCCTCCTAATAGGTAGGGATGTTGGAACAACGATAATGATGACTATGACTATACCTGTTTTTTTTTTTCACGATTTGTTTGGTTGCACAAGTGGATAGAAGTCCATCAATCTATGTGTGATTCATGCTTACAGGGGTACTTGGGGTGGGTGAGTTTCTCATTTGGGAGTGACATGGAGTGACTAGTCCCATCAGCTTTGGGCATCCCAGTCCCGTCAGGTGAGCGTGGAAACAGCCAGTTGGTGATGTAGAATCTATAGTGGATTGAGAATCGATGGCACAGACCCCAATGTCGGTGTTTTCTACGGACCCGCATCTGTCTAGGACATCACGGGGTGGTTTGTGCCATTTCTCACCTCTGATGGCCCACTGTATGTCATCAGATCCACTGGACGTGATGGGTCTTCACCCGGTTCCCGCTTCGATTGCTTCACATGGCCCCCCGCCCCCTTCGTCCGCATCCAAGTGGATGTACCAGATCCTTTTCGGGGGTCCTTTAGACCACAACAAGAAGGGTGAGTGAAGGAGATATGATATCCATGGAAATATCCTGTACAATATGGCTTTATATTGGATTTAGATTCATAATATCTATTGAAATGGAGGCTATACAACCTTCCCTTGGCTCTACAACATCCTCTTCCCTTGGTTGATCGAACAACACTTGGCGGCGATTCGCCTCAAACGTCGCCAGGTCCGCTCCTTGGACGATGCAAGAAGGAGCGGATGGTTATCCTTTGTAGCCGGGCCAGACGCGCCAGTGAAGCCATGGGTGGAGCGGAGCAGTGCAGGTTGAAAAACGAGTGGCTTGCTGTGGCTACAGCCGTGGTCGGCTAGCCGTGGATGGGGCGGCACACGGCCGGCTTTTGAGGTTTTTGAGGGATTGGATCGTACGGACTTTTTCTTTATTTTTCAGGGAATGATTGGCCACCCGAAATGAGGACATCCGGGATGCGAACAGGGTCACTTGGTAGGCAACTTGGTAGATGATGCTGTTGCCTTCTCATCACGGGGCAGCTGTAGATTTGGGGCCCTTGGGAGTGAGAGTGAGAGGTTGGGAGAATTCTTGCAAGCTGAAGACTGGGATGAGAAGCATTCTCTAGACCAAGGCCGACAGTTTGGTGGAATTTCCGAGCCACGGCGTTTTGCCAGGGAAACAGATGGAAGACTGTCACTACGGACGTCCACGTACTCGACTTTTTTACTTCATGAATGCTGGGCCTTCCTCAGCTTCAATGCCCATTCTCTATTTGCTACCCGCCTGGGTGTCTCAACACCCCGGGGCCCTTTGGAACTCCTGGTTTCTATGTTTAACTAGACGTATAGAGATACTGTAGTCAGTAGTCCATAAATCCACTACCAGGAGCATCCTGTCTGGGTGTCCTAGATGGAGATCCCCAAGTAGTTGTAGTGGGAGCAGTGTAGTCCGGACAGGAACCCCCAGTCAGGTTGCTCCTGGTACAAATGATGTCGACATCTTTGAACTCCTTGCTGACGATTGGGTGGTGGCTGTGACTTTCGATGGAGTTTGGCTGGGGTCCGGCTCTGGATCATGGCACCCGGATCCCAAAACTAGAGTAGGTTGACCTCCTGTAGGTCATCCATTCTGTTCATGTTCTTTGGTCAGGTAGCCAGGTGTCATGACCCACAGCCATTGGACTCCCGGCGCGAACCGAGTGGCCGAGACGGTGTGACCGACTGACCAACTGGGGAGGACGACGCCAATGGCGCGGAAGAGAGGATGTCTCGTTAAAAGTCCACATCTTCTCGGATTGAACAGGATGTTGATCTTGATCATCTTTCCCTTTCAATTGCTGCTTGGACTCTTGGACTGGAGAGTTTTGTGGAGGACACATTTTATTTGGAGTGGTTCACGTGGCTGCACATTTGCATCTTACCTGGTTTGACCAGTCTTGTTCAATTTAATTTGGCAAATGTATGATGGAACGGACATTGACATAGCAAAACATTTGGATGTATAATGTATAGCAATCATTTATCAGATCTCGCCTCACCAGTACAAGAAACTCAGATGGGTATATCATGGCAATTAATTGTATGTAAGTTTCTCATGCCCATACATGCCCATACCGCAACTTCTGTGTCGTTTCAGGTGCAGTTTCAGAGGTGCAGCACATGGCCGTGTCGAGACTTACATGGGTTCTACGTGTTCTTCGTCCCAAGTGACTTAAGTGACTCCATGAAGGGTGCCACTGGATCACCTTGACCTAGACAACCAAGCACGGCCCCAGAGACGTGTCTCTAGTAAGGGGGGATGGTCTGGGTTCCGCGTGTACGACGAGCATGGCTTTCCACCCTGTAAACACCTTCCATGAGGATATCAGTCGAGGCGGACAACACCTGAGTATGAATAGGGAGACCCCCAACCAAAGGGTAGACGATGTTCCTTCTTCAGGGGGGTCAGGGGAGAAGTCTCCCATAGTCTCCCTACACAGTCATGTTCACGTCGGCAGAACTCGCCGCTCCGCCGGTGTGGTTTCTTTTTTCTCGAAAGTTCAAGCTGATGAAGGCGATCTTCCATTAGCCCAAGTCGAAGGTGCTACGGATGTTTTGCATTTGGAGGGCCGCGGCCACCCAGAAAAACAAGAGCCATATCCTTCAAAGATTCCGGTTGTTGTAGAAAAAACGGAGTCATCGATCGATTCTGGGTCCGGCCGCCTTCAAACTCGTAAACTTGGGCACAGCTCCGCCGTAGTCCAGACTCCACCAGCAGGAGAAGCAAAGACCAATGACACCCCTTTTGATCCGAAAAGCCTAATACGTTTCCTCGTTCAATCGAATCAGACATGATCTGACCAGCTATGCAAGTCGTGAGGTAAATGCGCCAGCCATGTGCAGACTTTTTCCGCCACAGTTCAGCTGAATCAGTCAGGGATACCTGGCGATAGACTAGCGATAGATGCTTGATCAATCTTGATCATAGACCCAGAAGATGTTTCAATAAACAGTCGCATGGACCTAAATGAAAAGTGCAAGACCCAAGACCTATATGAGCCTCTTTGGCGGCCTTAGACCCAAGCGCCAGCCATGACGCTATCACGCCGCGAGCTGCGCGCACGGAAAGGCAAGCACCTTGCGGTACCAGGTGGTGTCCGGTTGTTTGCATCTTCCTTTTGGCTAATCTCCTTCATGTCACAGGTAAAACTTATTAATTAGAGTATGGTTTGATCCAAAATAATTCAATTGCGTTCAATGTGTATGAAGATGAATCTGTCAAGGCCGCAACGGTCGCCCAGCTTGGCAACGCCACATGAAGGCGCGGTTTGGCGGTTCGTGGAGATCAGAACCACCAGCTGACATGGCCAGCTTCTTGAAGCCGGAGCCAGACACTCCATGGGACTGGAAGATATAATACAGTTATATATATATAATTCTATATTTTATGGTAGTTGATTGAAAGGTCGACATGAGGCCTATGTCATCCTGAGCCTTTGTATGCCCCCTTAGGATGTTCGCGAAAGTGTTTTTAGAGTTCACGAAAGTAAAGATCTATTCGCGAAATGATCCGCGAAAGATGCTATTTTACTCTACAGTATATTAGGACTATCTACTTTATACTTCCTTCACTCAGGAGGAGCTTTGAACCACCAATATAAAGGAATATATATATATATCTAAATGTAATATTCCTTTGCACATAGCATGGCTCACACCTACCATGCAAAATCCTTATAGGCTGAAACTCACTAATGACGCGACGTTTATTTTGGAAAAAGTTTTGAAAGTTCCGCGAAAGCATTGGCGAAGGTGAAAGCCTGTTTTGTGGAACCCTGTCCACATGTAGCCAGGGACTGATTCCACAATATATAGGGGCATGCGGCATGCCATAGCCTATGTCAGTGTTGTCCAAGCTAAGCAGAGAAAGCCCTAGCAAGACATGAGCATGACAGCAGCTACTGTATTGCTAGGGCTCCAGAACACTTCTCAGAAAGTGTTTGGAGTGACTTTTGATCAGAGAGGTCTTGGGGGCAAGTTTTGTCTCAGAGAGGCCCCAGGGCCCCAGGTGCGCGCTGAGGCACTTGCAGGCCCAGATCGCAATGTTTTCTCGCTTGGAGCCGTCAGACATGTCTGAAACGTTGTTCAACCATATGATACAAAGTATATAGTGGCATGCATGGACGCTCTAGATCATACGTGTGCATATGTACACGATCGAAGTTGCTTCGGATCAATGTCTTTTCCGGAGCCATGGGGCTTCTCGAGAGGTGTTCTTGGGGATTTGATGTGTGTGGAGGTTGATGTCGGCAGTACTTGTACATGTGCACTAAGATTGAGATGTGGCAAGCCCTGCGACCCAACTCTGCAAAACCCACTGGCTCAGAGCTTGCGCACGGCCTGAGATGGCACTGGTTGCGGCGTGTGAGAGAGTGATGGCAGTGTGGCCAACACCAAGCGATTAAAGTTCAGGCTCGATGCACCTTGCCTACTTTTGAGTTGTCGAGGGCACCACTTTCGGTTTACGGGCGTGTGAACTCATTATAGAACTGACTTGATCCAAGGCAGTGGGACTTGCCATCCGCCTATGACCTATAGGCATCAAAGTTCTATGGTGAAAGTTCCAAACCACTGGTCATGGAAAGTGAGGAGACATCTGACTGCTTAGGACTTTGTCAAACATGCACTATTGCAACTGCAGAATCGTATACTTTCGATATGCATGCTGTTCGCAAACGGAAATCTGGTCGCCCGGAATTGCAGGAAGGTCTGAGACCTGTGCTCTAGACCTTGGTGTACGTTTGAGACCCTCTAGATCTAGATCGGGAGATTCTCTGCTGACATGGAGGCCAACTATGAGCTCATGAAGGTCCTTTGCTGTGTCGCACTTCAGCAAAAAGTTGGGCACAGGGCTTGCCACATCTCAAGGACTTGCAAGCTTCTTGTCCAAGCTTACTTTGTGGATTGGTATCTGCGAACATGTGCAGCAGAAGAATCCACTTGTACTCAGATTTGACTTCTTTAGCCCATCATTGTGGAGCGGTCGAGTCGTGAGAAGTCAACAATAGTGCGTATGACATTGAACTGCATTGGTGTTATTGATCGTTGTACCAAACATAGAACAGACTAGGTCATATCTCGTCTCCGGGTTGCAGGTGCGGTACGCAACCCTTCCCACCCGTTTGCCGTGCAGGACGCGCGTGACATGAGCTTTCTTTAGAATTGTTTGCGCGTATGTGTAGGACTGACCCGGTTTGCATCCCGTTTGCATCCACTCCCCTTCATCCCACTGATTGGATTGGGTCTGAGCTTGAGCCACCCGTCTTTCAGGAGGAACCAACAGTGCTGGAGCCTTCACTGCGTGAGTGTTCGACAATCTTTTGGTAATGCAGTTGAGGCTTTTTTGCGTCTACAACCTGTGCCTCTTTCCAGAAGAGGGTGGCAACTGTGCGTACGCGACAGAAATCTTTCCTGTACTGTGTGCACATATATTGGCCGGGCCGATTGACTGCCTTTGTGTGTGGTTGCAAGCTCAAACATGAGACTCAGGTGATCAGCTCTATCTGCACAACCTTCCACCTGAGGCTTGAAGCCAGTTGCAAGCTCGAAGAGTTCGACCAGTGGGACTGAGGGCCACAAAACGTGGCTGGAACCGTCTGGGTGCGAAAATGTTGTGAGCGTCAAGCGCATTAAATTCTCACCGAGGTCTTGGAGCCCAAATGTCCCCAAACAGGCCCTGAACCAGAGATACCTTCTCACAGACTATCCGGGAGCACTAAGGTATGTATTGCTTCACGGGAGTCCAAAGAAGTGTTTGCAATCCTTGCTTGCGCTGTTTCACTAAGTTAGATGAGCGAGCCATAGGAAGCAGAGCTTTTTCACACGATAGAAAAAGATGCCGCGAAAGTTAAGCACGGAGTTCGCGAAAGACTTGCAAAGTGCACAGAATGATTTTTGATTATGCATATATACTCACATGTATCCTACAGGTCAAATATCTCATTTTGTGGAGTTGAAAACAAAAGCACTACTCTAATGAACTTACTGGGCCTTTGGACCTGTAGTGTGCATATATTTACCTAGAACATGGGTGACCCGTTGGAACCACCAATGAGAATATGATAGAATATGTTTTTCATGGTCTTTCTATCTAAATAGTACGGACCCCTGAAACCAACCACCCCAATGTTTACACAACTATCAGTGTCCCAAGGGGGGGTTGGGGAAGACAATCCTCATTATGTTGCTGGTTTGGGTCGTTCGGCAGGTGATGATGGTGAATTTCACAAGAGGGTCCACGTCAATTCATCCGAATTCAGTGAAACCGGATGATACTCAGCCAGGCTCAATCATCCTGACACAAGAAAAATGCACACCCCAGAAACAAAAAACAATTAACGCGTGCAAAAACAAAAATCAGACCGGATCTCAGTGATCCAAACCTTGAGTGAGCGTGCACTATCAGTATGCCATCATTCCACGAGTTCATTTCAAACTTTTGTTTCCACAGTAGATGCAAGGTCATTTTGGTTCACCATCAGTTTGTACATGTTTGGTCATTTGTGTTCCTCCGTCCTAACTTTGTATGTGTGAACTTCACATACCCTAGGCCTCCAATTATCTTCTGAGAAGGTGTTTGGGGTGGATTTGGAGGGTCCAAATACCTTCTGAGGAGGTACATGGAGGTGTACTGTACGGATAAATCATGTGCATGAAAAAACACTGTCCAACCGCCGGTGTTCTTGATTTTTCCGGCCATGAACAAACAGTTTTCAGATGGGTTGTTGGATGTGTCCGTGCTAGAGCAGGTGAGCACTGAGTGAACTCATGGTCCCAGGTCTTGCTGGCCGAGCTGAATCAGTTGAAGGACGAGCAGCAGGCATTGAAGTCGCTTGATCCGATCAAAGGACTTACAATGTTGTTTCATGAGGTGGTTTTGTGGGCTTTGCGGTTCGCCCGGCATCCTTACTAGATACTGTACACTCACCAGATACTGTTCGCCTTCATGGCGACCTGAGTGAAGTCTGGTTTCGGTAGGTCGATCTTTTCCCTGTTTCGAGGTGGCGTTCACTCGTCCGAAAAGGCTTGAAAAGAGGGAACGTCCATTGAAGATGCAAACGAACAAACCGGGGTGAACGGGAAAGTTTGAACGGCTTGGTTGGGAAGGAACCTCGTGTCACTCTTTGTGTTGCAGTTGTTTTTCTTTGTGTGTGTGTTTGACCTAAGGTATTGCTTGATGTCTACAGGCGTTCTGACCCAGGCGCGAACCGCTTCCCAGCTGGATGAAGCTACAGTGTTCTCTTGAGTCTTGGTGAAAGGAATCGATTACATACGAGTTATTTTCAATGTTGTTTTAGTTTCGCATTTGTTTGAATCATTGAAGCAACCCTGCTCTGAAGAAGTATCTAAGGTTGCTCAATTATATTTTGGTCCTACCCAGTTGGAGGCGAGCTCTACGAGAACCCTTAAGCAACATTTGGGAACTGGCTTCCCCACTCAAGCACCAACAGATGGAACCAGGGTTACACTCCCCAAACAACATCAAACACCTCGCATGGCATTTGGAGGTCGGCCCTCTGAAGAACCCTGCATTCCTCGAGCTGCAGTGTTCTTTGACAGTCCATGGAAGTCCTCAGCGGGGTCATGGTCAGAGGTTGCCAGACCCGACCAAGTGTCACGGACCGTTCTGAAGTGGCCGGAGCGTTCCCAAATAGGACAGAACATCATTTGGTATTCCAAAACAGGAACAACTCCTTGAACATGAAGCACCCTTTTGATTCACAAGTCATACTACAATTGACCATTTGTTGGGGCTGGTGACTGGCGTTCTCCATCCGTCCATCCCTCCCTTCCTCTTTCGTTCCGCTCGTGCAGGGCGACTTGGCCCGCCTTGCGCCCAGACGATGCCGAGCGCCGCCGAGCGCCGAACGCCGCGAGAGCCGCGCGGCGGCGCTGTGCCGAGCTCCACACGTGGCCACTGGGTGGAGAAGCCGGGCGTGTTTCCGCCGACGGACAGGGATGCCAACGACGATGTGTTGGGCTTTTTCACTGACAAAAAAGACATGGCATCCATGGTGCAGGATGGAAAAGAATGTAGAAGAACCACCAGACAAAGACTCATCAAATTTATCAATCTAGCGGTGAACAGATTATTGGAAACCAGCCTTTGGTTCAGGTTAGACACCAACGAGCCGTTGAGACCGGACTCAGCTTGCTTTGGTATGTCGATGGTGGTTGAAGGACTACCATGGATGAGGTTGCGAACCGGTCGTTTGCATGCTTTGTGGTCCAAGGGATTATATTACAGCCCAGTATATATGTCTAAAAAGAAAAGGTGGTTGAAGGCCAATCACTGCCAGTCCTCTATCCCTATGGGTCCACATACCTTCTGAGGTTTGGTGATTGGAGGCTATTGATGTACTGAGGTACGGTGGATCCAAAAAGGGTCTGATCTTGAAACCGCGCTGTGTTCTCTTCGGAGCCCAGTGCCCAAATAGCTCGGTGCTTCTCCGGTGGTCTCCGGTTGGAACGGCACACAGACCAAGACGAACATCCAAAAAAAATGATTTTCAGAAGTCAATGTAGGCACAAAGAAGTTCCAGTCCCATTCAGTTCTGGGGCATAGAGCTGGGTTCACCGCTAGCATGGTCCTGGTTTGTTCCAAGCTTTGTTGGGATTTGAGATTCTGCGGATGCCTTCACGGTCCAGGACCATTCTGATGGTCCTTTGGCCCCCGTTCGACCATTCTCTGGAAGTACGAACTCACCTCCAAGACCATCCTCAAGAGGTACCTGGACCTCATGGGGATGGTAAGAGTGAGAGTGTAAGTCTCCGAGAGATCGGGGCCCTACCACCGGTACACCTGCATGGGTACATTACCTCCCAGATGGGGCTTTTGGAAAGACTCAGAAAGGTCAGGGCCGGGCCAGCAGCTTGGAATACCACAGCCTACCTGGTGTTGCGGATCAGGTGATTTTTTGCTTTCCCTACGGTTAAATCCCTTTCTGGTATTTTCTGGTATGTTTTTAAACAGGTTCCTTAAGCAAATCCAATCATACGGCAACCCTGCCTGGGCGAGAGCCAAGTCAATGGTGGGAACATTGCAAGAGGCTTCACCATCAGGCATTTGCAATAGCCCCACCGACCTTTGAACATAACACATCTATAATATCAACCAAAAACGCATGCTGACATTGAATAAACACTGACTTTCGACTTGACCCAAATAATACGATATATGGTATATAGACAATGTTCCAAGATGCCATCCGTTCGATTTGTTCAATTGGGGACTGACTTTATTGATAGATTCCCAAACTCCCCCCGAAGTGGTCCCGCCCGACCTCAAGACCTCCGACCTCATGGCCACCAGGGCTGAACGGTGCTCCAGCGCTTGGTCGTCCGCCGTGTTCACGGCCCCGTCCTGTCCTCCAGTCCTCAGGTGCGAACACTGGCGCAGCTCGTGGGCAGCGATGCCTTGCACTTCGCCGCGGCGAGTCGGGCAGCCACTCGGTGAGACCGAGAGGAGCGAGCTGGTGGCAACTCATGGTTTCAGGGAATTTCGCGGTGGGAAATGGGGTGATGGGTGGTTTTTCAGTGGACTTAAACTCTACCTGGACCACCCAATGTGTGTCCAATGGAGATCCCTAAGTAGTGGAGGGTGGTAGGCCATTGGTGGCCCATTGGATGGTCCTGGTAATAGAGTACATGATTTGGAAGGGTAAAGGAAGTTAAGTTTTGGAGAGGGGATGCTGGACCGGAGCATGAAGCCGCATGGTTTTGTATGCTTCTCAAACCGAGTGATCTCATGGCTTATTGAAGAAGAAAGACATATAGATTGGGCACCCTCCATCCAAGATGCCCTTTGCACGTCCCTGTTCCAAGTCCCAAGGGATTCACAGAATCAGCAAAAGGGTTCGGAGGAGCATTGGCAGAAGGTTTGGGCAGAATCTGTTTACCCCTTGCGGACCTTCGGGGGGTACGGGGTTCAGGTGTTTTTCGCAGAAGTTCGATCCACATACTGACTGCAATGTCAGGGTATCATACCTTCTCAGGCAGTTGCTTATGTCCGCAGATACCGAGAACACACCGTTTGTGCATGCCGCCCTGGCCGCCCTGGCTGTCTTTTTTCTCGAGGCCTCGAGTGCATGCCGCTCAGTGATGCTGATGTCCGAGGCAAGTGGAGAGATGGATTAATCAAACACCAGACGAAACAAGTGTTAAACAAGCACGACCAGGACTCTTTTGTTTCATAATGTTTCATACAGCTGTGCAATGGAAGCCGGCTGCTAGCTGGGAATTTGAAGCGAACAACAAAAAGATCTGAAAGAAGGGGGGCAGTCCGTGGATGACTCCGGCAGCAACTCCTATTCCTGGATTGGTCAGAAGGTGTGATGAGGATCAAGCTTAGATGAGAGTTACGCACCCTGACCTAAGTGACCCGTGAAAGAATGGGTCTTGAGATTGATTGCGGCCTTGAAGTTAGGACTTTTTTTGGATGACACTGGGATCAAGCATTAGAATCACAAGCACTTGTATTAGAACATGTGTTTGGACTTAATTGCTTGTGAGTTCCAGAACATGAAGGATGCGACGCGTCGATGTCTCACGTACAGAACAGAAGGATGGAACATCTGAACACGTCACCCAACTTGTGGTCATGTGTTTTTCTTGCTTGTCTCGTTGTACATGTTTGGACCACTAGCACGACTGAGTCACGAACGGACCAGGAGCACCTATTCTTTGGATAGCTGACCTGTGGGAACTGTGGGGAACGCACCTGGATACCGACCAGTAACGACGCACTGCAGGGTCGTTCGAACTCGGTGGTGTGTGACCGGGCTCCAGGTGGGTCGCGACCCGATCATTCGATGACCAAATGGCACGTGTAGACTGTGGTGTTCAACAACGTACACCGTGGGGTGAAACACCGGGGAACACGTGCTGGGGGGCGGATGTTTGGGTCAATTCCACGCAGGTTTCTCCAGGTCAAGGCGGCCAAGGCCTCTTCGGTAGGCAGGGGCCAAGTCAAGTGCATGAGTTGGTGGAACTTTGGACAGGGAGAGTTTGGATTTGAGTACGTGAATTGTGATGGAGATGGATTTGTTATGATTTGTTGATCTTTGGGGTTTGTGTTTTTTGAGTATTGTACATTGTACATCGTTTGTTTTTATGTTTGTATGTTTTATTTGTTGGATCCTTGATGATCTTTGACCTTTTGGGAGATGGTATAGACCAGGGTAGCAGGTATGAGCAGCGTGACCAGCGAAAGGAGGGGACTTCAGATGTTTATCTCAATGTCATTCAGGGTGATTTGATAGATGTTGAGTGCACCACTCTTCTGGATTTTTGCTTTTCCTGAAGCATCCTTTGTAACACTTATTTCTGGCAAACCATGCTTTGGAGCACTTATGGGAAGTTTGAGCGTTAATTGAGGGTATGTACACTTTTCAGGACATATGAGCGCTTTTTGGTGATGTAAATTCTAAAGCCTACTGGTTCCTGACCAGTGTCCTTATCAACCCTTGTGGGCCTTTGGGGGCCCTATGGACCGGGTGGAAATCCTATATGACCTCTCCTAGTATGTGCAAATGAAACCACAAAGGTTTGGTTCTAACCTTCTGGGCGTGCTTTACAACAATTTTTCCAAAAAGGGTGCCCGCAACTTGGGCGCAAATTCCCGCAACCCGGGCGCAATTTTAAACAGTGGTTGATGTATTTTTACTTAAATATTTTATGTTGATACTGACGATCAAAGAAAGGGGTTGCTGGCTGCGGCTTCGTAGTGTGTGAGCGTGTGTTGTGTGTGTGTGCATGGGATGGGTGCCAGCATGTGGCAGGGGAATGGACTTGAAGACCACATAAGGTGGAATGAGGTACGCTTTTTCAAGGCATGAACGCTTTTTTTGCTGATGCGCAGTTTTTTTTCTGTCACTTTTTTCTGCTACGACGGAGGGTTCAGGTTTTTAGTGATTCCTTCCAAGCCTTGGAATTTGAACATCGAACTACCGAACTGACTTTGAGGAAGGAGGAATGTGTTGGGTCTGTCCTATTATATATACCTGTAACAGTCAGTCAATTAATAACTATTTTGAACTGTCGGCCTGCAACCTAAACCGTCATCATCCGCAAATAGGCCCAGGATAGATCGGATAGACCCAAGGAATGCGTACGCCGTTTTGCTACAGCTTGGCTCTGTTCGGCCTTTTTCTGGGCGGATCGGGTCATCCAGAAGTCGACGGAGTCAGCGGGGATCAGCCTCTGGGGGCTTTCACCATCCCTAGGGCATTGAGATCCGAAGAAGAACAAAGATTGACTGGCTCGGAACCTCTCAAAAACCATCCGGAACTAGCGATAGCCATCGATAGCCTCCAACCTGGCGGCCTCCAACCGTCAGTCGGTTCCCAGGACGTTCCGACCTTTTTGAAACCTGATATAATTCACTGAGGACATGATGGAAGAAACTCAGAAATTGCCCCAGACTGGAGGCCCAAAAGCGGTTCCGTTCCCCCCTCGTCGTTGGACCGAAGGACTCGACCGGACTCGACCGGGTCTCATTTGGCCGGGTCACTGGTGCGGTCCGACCACTCGGGGGGTGCCCCCGGATGTGAGTGGCGATGGGCATGGGCCAAGTCCATCGAAACATATCTTAAACATTGCACAAATAGAACGAAAAAACACATGCCAAAAAACCCACAACGTCCATCGTCCATCGTCCTCCTTTTTTTTGTGTGTCTTAGGTTTTGCACTCGGATGATTTGATGTAACCTCTGTTCCTTTCTGGGTGAAGACCCTGGAATATGTTGTAGTTTGTGCTGGCTCCTTCAGCAACGTCCATCTAAACCACTCCTGAAGAAGTGAGCTCAGAGTTGGGGCACGAAGGGGTAAGAGGATTTAATTATGATTTATGGGGCGTAATAGGGGTGTGTACGGTGTGTAAGACAGATATATACTGTATACGGTTTTGATGGGTGTCACCTGCCTACCGGTAGGCAGGGGGCCTCCAACCCCACCCGAAACATCTCTCATCAACGTTCTCCTCAAGGCAGAGCTGTGGACCCACACTCTTGTATGTAAATTAGATCAATGAAACTTCCATAGTCTTGCATTTCCGGAACTGCCCTGCGAGGCTCTTCTCAACTGCATCCATCTCGCGAGGTGCGCACCAGTCGACTGGCTGCCATCCGAAAAGGAACCGCTTCCCCAAGCACGGAAGCACGCGAAAACGTTCCACAAGAAAGTTCCCACCGGTGGGAGTGGAGTAGAAGGAACTCCACGATCAAGATACCAGAGATGGACCGTATGAAAAAGACCACCTATGTTTTTGTTGCCTATGCATTCATGAGCCTTTTTGTTTGGCCTTTCCTTTCATGCGAGTCTTATTTTTTGCCAAGTCGTCCAAAACCGGTGATACACCAGGCAGTTGGACACCGGTTTTCTCACCCGTTCCGGACGTTCCCGGAGTTCTGTTCCGGAGTTCCGACTGTTGGGTAGGGATGTGGCCAGGGGGGTCCATATGGAACTGGGTGCGATCCATGGAGGAAGACGGGGTCCGGAGTGCTCCACGTCCATGCAGCGATGGGACTAGGCCCCGACATGGAACTCCTGAGGCTGATTGGACGAGTTTCTCAAGTACGGGTGTCCCTTTTGGGCTGAAGAACCGGCATTCATGCCTGTGGTATACCAAAACGGTCCGCTAGGCTGTGGCCCCAGGTCTGACGCCGACATAGAGAAAAGAAGCAAACAGATGCAGAAAGGATGTAAAACATAAACCCTTTGGATCCAGTCACCACTGATTTTTTTAGATTGCAATCGATTCAACACTATCAATCCATGATCCTGGTTCCTTCCACACTTGTCAGAGGAAGTCATTGTAAAACCTAAAATTCCTTGCACCTTTTGGGTTCGTCCACGGTGGAGTTGTTTCTGGGGTTTCCCTGGACAAACCAGAGACCCTATTGACCTGAATGTATGTATATATACACTATACTCATTAGACACTATATTAACTATAATGTGCATGTATAATTTTAGAATATTTTTTAGATAGTTTTAGATTGTTTGGGAAATCCCCGGGAAACCCTTCGTCATACAGCTGGCGCACGGATGGATGTCTACAAGCAGAGAATGTACTAGCGCAAGGTACACACTCGCAAAGAAAGAAAGAACGAAAGAAAGAAAGAAAGACAGAAGCTCTAGAGAGACCGAGAGAGAAGAAGCAACAAACTCCACCGGGTTGAATCCTTCCCTGTGCGCAGCCTGGGGAGAGAGAGGATGTTCCACTGTGTCCAGCAGGTTCAAATGAAGGAAGTTTCATCCACCCGTTGTGAAGGCACCCATCGACCAAACATCCACTGCAACAGGGAGTTGCATTGCGGAAAACATGTTGGCTTTGGGGTGACATGAGCAATGAGTGGACACACCCCGAAAAGAAGCATCTCATGTCCGACATGAATTCCTCTTGGCCGCCAGGGGCCTCGCAGGCCTCGCAGGGAGCACCGGCCCAGGTGGGAGAGTTTGTTCACGATTGCAGGTGGCATGAACTACATGATGTGGGCAAGAATGGGTTCAAGATGGTGGCAAAAGGGTACACTCTGACTCACTAACATGGAAGTGGAAAATGGTCCCTTGGAAGACTACTTTCCTTTCCGAACAGGGGGTGCCATCCACGTCCATGTGATGTGTTCGTCGGAGTGTACATTGAATCTTGAACTCCAAGTGATCTGAACTCTCAAGAATGGATACATGATCGACGCCAATGAGAGCTCTGCTCCGTTGCCTGGCGTTTTTGCTTGGGCTGCTTATTGGTCAAGTGGTCAAGACCTCGAAGGATGCAACCCTTTCTTCGTACTTTCCGTGGTGATTTGCGTGGTTTCTACGACGAACCATCTCTACTATAGACGGATCTAGACGGCCTATGAGTCGTTTTTCCGTTTTTCGGGTGGCGGAATTGGTGGCTGTGGATTGGTCATTGTAACTTAAGGGGAGCAAAGCTGAGAATGACCAGTGAGAAGATGTTTTGCGGGATCACGCCCCATGAAGGCCCCCAAATCAGAGGTGTTTCTGTTCACAGACAGATAGACAACTCCATTCTTTGAGGCAGACACACTCAAATGACCGTTTTATCATTGTTCCATGTTGTTCCTCTTCAAATGACTATATACAGTAATATACAGTATAAATCCATATCCATATATGCACAGCTCCAACAAAGGGATCAAACCGGTGTTTTCTCTTCAAACCACGACTCATGCCCTCACCCGGCATCGTTCTCGTCGCTTGCTCACCACGACGTCAGGAGAACGAGACGACACCGGCGAGCTCGGAGGAGGCTGAACCAACGATCCGCTCCGGGGGGAACGGGAGGGGGGTCGGTCCAAAAGGACCCCAGTGGATCCATAGAGTTCAAAAGCTAATAGCAAACATTGTTACTACTAGTAAGGCACTTGCTCCTAGTAGCGATGCACTTGTTCCTAGTAGCTTCTTGTTACTACTATATAGTAAGGCACTTGTTACTACTAGCGTGGCACTTGTTCCTAAAGCTTAACAACTGATTCACCATTACGATTCCCACATGTTCCGTTTGGCCACAGACTTCCAGCGTGGTATCAGCGCTGGTATAGGGATCGCTTTGTCGGTACCCTTGGAAACCCGCAACGGGCGCCTTTGCGCACCAAACTACGTCGGTCTCCCTCGCATGTTTTCTTTCCCTGGTGTGTTTAAGCGAAAAGAAGAACTAGGAAACATGCCCAACATTTGAAACAGGGACTTCACCGTGAAACGGGGACTTCAGCTATAAATTTGGAATGCTCCGACTCACTTGCACACCACGCCGCCGACGCGCCGACGCGCCATGCGGAACAGCCTCTTCCACATCTGACCTCCGTGCAGGATTGAAGCAGTCTGTGCCAAGAGAGGCTCAACATGATTCAAACCATGCCATATCATATCATATATATATATATCGATTGATATCAATTGCGCGTTTGGGCCATTTCGAGTGGATCATTTGGAGCACCCCGGAGGATTCTTGTTCGTTTGCCCCACCGTTCAAAGACCGAGTTCGGCCACTTCCCGCGTCGTTCCCCGCAGGCGGACGTGCCGCGCATGAGGCTTTCGGCTAGGCCGGACGGATGACACCACGGCCCGTGATGGATCTGGAAGTCAGACCTGTCAGACTCGATCTTCATGAACAACAACGACTCGATCAACGACTCAATATGACTCAATGACCTCCACAGAAAGAGGTGGTTCAATCCAAATGCAGGGGGATCATTCATCAAGAGTCTACATTACACCCTGAAAGACGATCCCATGGACCCTGAAAAAACCCACTGGCTGGTAGAGGAAAACCCATCTTCCAGGCACCCTGATTGGACCCGGGTCCAATGTGAGTTTTTGGGAGTGTCAGACATGGGGCGTTCTGACTTGAAAGATGGAGCATCGATCTTACTGGGCCAGGCGCTTTGTCGCAAGGCCATGCGGCTGGCTCCCCCATGGGCGGTCCAAGTAGACAAGGACGAATAAGTATTGATGACTGGAACAAGTTCGGGATCCCAAGAGTCGAAGGTGCATGGGGCAAAGCAAAAAATTGTTATGTGCTTCGGATATATATATATATTGTTGTATATGTGGGGTCTGTCCGTTCTTACCTGTAACAGTCAGTAAACAAGCAAAACACTATGATTGAACAAGGCCTGCAACCTAAACCATCATCATCCACTGTTGCAGGTATTAGGATAGACCGATAGACCCAATATCTGGTTGTTGTAGATTTAAGTGTTGTATCCTAAGGTATAGGTAGTCGCGGATCCACTTGGCATGTTTCTTGGAGCACGTGAGCCATGTATCCAGAGCACCATTAACAGAGCTCGAGCGCGTCGTGTTTTCGATTCTTTGGATTCGTGTGTTGACATGTTTCTTTTCCTATATGGGTGAACCATGGTGAATCCCCCACTTGTGTGGGGTATGCCTATTTACTGTTATAGAAGAAGTGGCTTGTGCCAATCTTCTATTTGAAGGGTATGGACATTTGCCGCCGGGAGGGTTTCAAATAGAAGGCCAGGTGCAAACGAAGGTCCAGGGCACAAAGTCGGCGAAAATCAAGAGAGGCCAAACCCCGAGCCACTTCAAATAGAAGAGGCAAACAAGACTAAGACAAAAGAAGGGAGGGGAAAGGGGAAAGGGGAAAGGGTGGGGAAAGGGGGAAGGGAGAAGGGAAGGGAGGCAATCAGAAGGGAAGGGAATGCAGCTGCCAGAACAATACTTGAGCAGCCACCAAAAATGATTGCGGGAGGATTTATTTTGCTTTTCTCTTCTCCCGCAGAGAGGGAGAGAGAGAGTGAGAAACAAAGAGCAAGCGGGCTCATGTGTAAGTGTATGTTGTGTCAACAAATATGTTCTTCTATTTGAATCGAAGACTTGGTTGTGAGCACGTTTATCAACCCTTATCTTGAGTTATTCCTTCAGTCCTGGAACCTGGCTACGGGAGGAATATGCAAACATAGCTTCTATTATTAGTTTCCCATCGTTTCCCGCACTATACACAGTTTTCTTTTCCAAAGCAACTTCAGGATGGCAATGTGAGAAACGATGGCTCTCGGTCTTTGCACTTGCGCTGAGCACCAAGCAACCCATGCGATCAGGCTCTTCTCGCGCTTGCTGTCCTGGAAGAACTCCGAGGAAGAGAACTCGAACGCCCGGTGGCCAGAGGATGCGAACGCCGGATGCGTAAACGATGGAGATGTGGTTGTCATTGGTCCAGCAGCAAAGCCATATTAGTCTGAGTTTGTACCTCTTCAAAATGGCTACAGGAGCTTGGTTTTAGGGTACACACAATGAAACAACACCTAGTTAGGGCAAAAGCTAAATAGGCAAAGCTTTATAGGTCCTATTCTATTTTAGGAAACGTCTACCTCGTTTTGTTGCCGTTCGTTCCACATCGACGGGCGTGTTGAACGCGTCGTTCTGCACGTTCCGTCCAGCTCGACCGACCGTTTGTCAGAGCGCTTTCTCCACCGAAACCGTTCGACCGTTCCGCGAGCGTCGGAACGCTCCACCGTCCGCGATGCGATTCGGTTCGCGAGGTCTCCGACGTGATGCAGCTCAAGGAGGCCAGCGACCTACACCGGTGCCGCCGGAACTGACCGGCCGTTCGCAGATTGAATTTCAGCGATGCGCAGTCCAGCGCAGCATGATGCTGCTTGGTTTTTGTTGGTGTGTTTTTGTTGGGGGGCAAAAAAGGTTGGCGCAATCAAACGGAAACAGGCGGATACTGCCTAAGTATATACATTCATACAATACACAGTTTCAGGTTTTTAATACTTTTGGGCAGCTACCTACCTGAAGAAACCAAGAAGTTGCCCTACACTCATATTGTAGGTAGCCAGTGTACCGTCTGGTCGCCAAACACTCCAGGGAACTGGAATGCATACTGATCAGTTGGGGTGGTGGATAAGAGGTTAATGAGTCAATGAAGGTCCATCATTCCTTTCATCCTTTCGTGCAGTTGAGTAGGTCGCCTGGTTCCTGAAAGAGAATGGTCACTGGGATGCACTGGGGTTCGCGTTCTTGGGCGCCATCTGGTGGGAATGGACCAGGTAGGATCTCATTGAAAGAGTTGGATGCCAAGCCCGAGAAGTGGTTGCACCCACCGGTGTGAGTTTACAGTCAGACAAACCCCAAATCCATCATAGGCATATGTACCTAGATTGATCCCTTGTCCACCATGCCAAGTGATCGGTACTTCAACTCTTCCATCTAAAGTTAAAGTTGACGCTTGATTCATGCACCTCCAACATGCGAATGATTCTGCATCTCCATTCCTGGGGCGTTGATTGATCATCAGACAACAAAACTTGGAGCATAGACTAGATGCCCTTTTCACCAAGTACGAACGCATATTCTCAAATGATTGGTTTGTTGATCAATAGTGCGGATACTCCGCGGTCGTGAACCAACCAATATGGTCCCTCATCTCAACCCTAGCATCATTGACTTGGAGCGTTTGTGGAGCGACCTCCGCAGGTCTTGCGCGGCTTCGGTCGGGCGGCTGGTGCCACTGCAGCGTTCCAGTTGGGAGTGCCCAGGAACGGGGAAGTCGGAAGAAACACCTGAGTCAGACTCCCATGGCCGATGAACAAGTCGAACATCATCGAACCCAGTTGGGGCAGAGTGGAAGTCATTTTTTCCAGAAGGATCTGTAGACCATAGTAGACCCAATGATCAGAGTTCATTTCTGAACGGGCTTCCCATCAGCGGGGGGGTTGTTTGTTTGATTGAGATGCAAAAAGTGTGTAATGGGTCTGAACAAACTACAGCTGCGGTTTGCTGATGCTCTTAAACCATCTCTTGACTTCTCCTGACCACACGTAGATGACCAGCTAAAGGGGCGATGTTCCAACCTTAAAACTTTTGCGACCATAGGCGACACAGCACCACCCTCCAGCTTCCTCGGCGTTTCAGTTGCCCAATCTGGTGCCTCCTTTTTCGCCTGGAGCTCGGTGCTCCACTCCCGGACTGAACTCCCAGACGGTCAACCGCAACTGGGCCGACTGGCGACCGGACCGGGCCGAGGCTCTCGGAGAGCTGCCGTGGCTGTAACGAGGCGTCCGGGCGCCCCGGTGTCCACGGAGGTGCGAAGATGTGCGAAGTGGCTGGGCAGATAGGGGAAACTGGGTCGGTTCGAAGGCCAACAGAGAAAGCGCTGTTGATTTGGATTGTTGAAGATTCAGATTACGTGACACCGGAAGGCTTAGTCAGCTTCTTGACTAGTAGCCGATGGCCTCGAACCTAAAAACGCGGCCGTCTCACATTACGCTTCGCTTCCACAGACTCCGTCGGACGCCCAGGCTGCGGCCGATTTTACCTCTCATTTCTCAAGAGGCGCGAGGGGGGGGACCATGCCAAACTCGGTCGACTGGACCGACGGTTTGGGGGATTCAACTATGGTCAAAAATGAGTTATCATTTATACCCTCGGGATCCAGTCGTACCTCCTCAGAAGGTATTTGAAGCCTCCTGGCACCCAGCCCAGTCCCACCTTCTCAGAAGGTACTTGGATCCCTAGGGATGCATTTGGAATTCAATTGCCATTGCAGATTGATATGCCTCACCAGAGTCTCCTCGGCACATTTGCACCAGGATTTTTCTGGTGACATCATGCAGGCTTGCTCTCAGCAGAAATCCAACCCACAAGGATATCGCTGGAGCCTCCGGTCGGTAGGAGAAGCTCATTGTGAAGTCTATGGTCTCAAGTCTGTGACTTTTGCACACACCAGCCGTGTTGTGGAGCATCCTGGGCACCCCCAAGAAACACCTCCAAACAAGGCATTGGGAGGCTCATGGCTTCCGCTTTGGACAATGGATTTGGGCGGCTTTGGGGAGGATTTCACCACCAAGATTGACACAACAGCTTCCTATACCGCCATAAAGCAAGATCAGACATGATCAGACTACACACTCAGCATTCCCTATAATGTTGGATCTTGATTAGTAAAAGGGACCCGCCCTCAAACAAATGGAACCACCACCAAAACAAATCTGTGTTCCTAGGAGGATTCCTTTTGTAATTGATTGTAGTAATAATTGTCCTTTCTCTCTTTGTAGTAGTAGTAGTAGTTGTTGTTGTTGTAGTAGTAGTTGTTGTTGTTGTAGTTGTAGTTGTAGTAGTAGCAGCAGTAGTAGTAGTAATAGTAGTTGTAGTTGTAGTAGTTGTAGTAGCAGCAGTAGTAGTAATAGTAGTAGTAGTACTTGTAGTAGTAGTAGTATTTGTAGTAGTAGTACTTGTAGTAGTAGTACTTGTAGTAGTAGTAGGAGTAGCAGCAGTAGTAGTAGTAGTAGTTGTAGTGGTAGTAGTAGTAGCAGTAGTAGTAGTAGTAGGAGTAGCAGTAGGAGTAGCAGTAGTAGTAGTAGTAGTAATAGTAGTTGTAGTAGTAGCAGTAGTAGTAGCAGTACTAGTAGTAGTAGCACTATTATAATACTATGAGGATCAACTGTGATGAATTATATACTATTTACATTTTTCTTCAGGAAAAAGCTTTGCACAATTGAGGGCCCTTAAAACAAATTCATTATTGAGGATCACGGGCCTTCCTGGTCTACTACCTTGAAGATTTGTTTAGGAACAATCTTTTCATAAAGGATTGATTGGGGAATTTATGGCTTTGGGAAGTTGTCAGTTTTGAAGAAGAACTATGGAAACCTATACTTATCAATACTCTCAGAAAGCCAACCATTGGCTTAGTAGTATTAAGAATTAATACATAATATACCTATTTTCCTAAAGACCATATACATAACTAACCCTAAATATGTTTCAGATAATAAACAAAAATTAGGATCCCAAATCGATTTAGCATAATAGAAGACCCTTAAAACAAACAGGGTGTCAAGAATTATTTTCCAACATTTAGCATTATGGAGGGCCCTATTACTAATCAAGATCCAACCTTAATATGATATTTTGCGTTCTCCCCCCAACACATCCACATGTATCACCTCCCACCTGGGACCCGCCATGCCACATGCCGCCTGCCTGATCAACGACTCTCCTCCCGTCGCGGTCGGTCAGCACGAGGCGCCTTACATCTACGTGTCGGGCGGCTCCTGTGGCCTGGTGGTGGACTCCGCCGAGCGCTTGAATCCCAGGCGGAGGGGGCGGACGCGGTGGCATGTGGTGTGGTCTCGTGGCGCGGGGGGCGAAGAGGGAGGACGTGGGAAGAGGGGTATGTGGACTTTTAGGGTGGGTGGTGGTATGAGAAAGGAAGGCTTGAAGGACAGGTGGTGGAATGCTAAAACAAAAGAGTATAATGTTAACGACATTTTTGCTGACCCTATAGTACGTTATGTTTTAGGGCACTACATGTTTTAGCTGGACATGGATGTGGGTGTAAAAGCACTCGTAGCCCAGTAGTTGAGGTTTAGAAGAGGCACAGACAGAACAGGTCACGCTTTCAGGTCCTTGGACGGTATGATCAACAGATATCAGAAATCAACAGATTTGCCACAAGGAGCATCCCTAAAGCCAAGCTCTTGCAAGCTACAGTGTATAAACTAGAGGCTAGACTAGAGTGCTTTTGATTTCACGCCACATACAAGCTACATCAAGCTACAGGCTTTTCATCTCTTTCCATCCTCACAAAACCTCACCTGCCCAGCTGACCCAACAGTGACCCACACGGTCGTCGCGGAACCTTCCGCTGTCGCCAGAACGGGTCTGTGGGAGACGTTGCCCTCCATGTGCATGTGGGGTGCTTAGCCGACCCAGGAAGTGAATGGATCACCTGCAGGTGATCCTGCGGACAGGCTTATGAGAGGTTTTGAGTGATACTGCCAATGGATAATCCCTGCGAGATGTTCTTTTTCCTGCTTCTCAGATCTTCTCGGTTCATGAATACAAAAAAACAACCGCCTCATGTTCACATCCCTTTTGGACTGTACACAAGACACACAACTTTCATGAGGCTTCTAGTGGGATGAACTTCAGCTACAGGACTAATTACAGCATAGTGAGTGATGAGAGCTACCCCCCCTGTTCAACATGGACAGCATCAAATGGCGACAGGACTGTGTTTACAGAAGTGCATCGAAGTTTACAGAACTCAACTGATCCCTGCTGAAGCTGAAAGGAACTTCACCGGGGCACCTCCCATCAGCCCTCGGAACCTCCCATCAGCCAGCCCTACCTACCGGCCTCGTGGCCCGGATCGGTACGACCGGTACGGACCGGTACGGTACGGACCCATCGGGCGAAGACGAGCTCACCCGTAGCGGAAGGGCCCATCTAAAGGTGTCGAGTTCACTCTGGGCCCTTCCATACTCCAGGGGTCTCAGTGGATCTGGGTCCCGGATCTCCATTTCAGCGCATGGGACCAACTCGAGATCGGAGGGTGAAGCTTGGTGACCTCGGAGACCAAACGTCCGAGGTGACCTCGGTTCGAGTCCAGACGCAACTCGACCAGACCGCGTGCACCAGATCTGACGGAGCGGAGGTCTCCAGTCCGCGTGTGTTGTCTACGACAGACCACACAGTCTCCAGTCCTGTTTTGCATTGTTTTGCTGTATACCATGCGGACCTAGGATTACCTCACGCCCTCAGAAAATTAAGCAAATAGTTCATTATAGTATACTGGATAACTGTTTAAAGCTACAATCTAAAATGATGTCCCGTTTCAGATAGCATCCAATATCTTGCTTTTTCATAGCCCCTTAGAGATCTGTTATGTGGCAAAGGGGTGTCCATCAACCACCCGTTATGTGGCTTCATGGTAGTCTTTTGTTCCCTCCGCTCTCACCTTCCGCACACGGCCCTCCACGACCCTCGCCTCGGCCCCCCCGTCACGGCCTCACGGCCCAGACCTCGTCGGGCCTGTGCCACTGCGTCCACGGGTGGCAGGTGGGATGTTGGAAACAGCGTGACGGTCTGACACACGAGACGAGCACCGAGCACCGTGTTGATGTGAACATGGCACCTTAAGTTGAACTCGTGGATTGCTTTTATCGGAACATGACGACTGGGACACACATGAGCGCTTCCCAGCTGCCCCAATGGAACTCGTGGTTTCGGTTCCTATGGAACTCGTGTCCGTCCGACGTCGGAAAACGGTCTGTTGGTCTCGGTCCGCCAAGTGAGACAGATTGAACGTTTGGGAACAAATGAGTCGATTGATGTTGTCACATGACCTCATTTCTCCTAAAACTCGTGCTTTAGGTCTTGCTCCCACAACAACTTCACAGCGACTGTGGCCAAGACCATCCATCGGATTTCCCCAAGCACTTGCATGTAATGTTGACATTGGATTAATGAACCCACCTATTAATCAAGCCCAGCTCGAGCCCCCAAAAATAAACACTAAACTATTGTAACACCTGAATTTCCACCTTGACATCCCCCCAAATATCCTTTTCCTGGCCAGCAACCTTCATATTAATCAAGCCCAGCTGCGTACTATCTTTATATATCTTTATTATATAGTTATCCACCACATAGAGCCTCCATCTCCTATTCCTCCTCCATGCTCTGATACACAGTGATCCAATTGGCATGGCTCTTTGATCTATCCTAGCACTAGCAGATCTGTTATCATCTTTTATCAAGCTCGTGCCAATATGCTCAGAGGTTCTTATGGTTCAAGCTCTCATGGTTCACACAGAATCCCATCAACCATCGTCCACCATCATCCAGTCCAGGTCATCACCTTTATTAGGGGGATGTGGTGCTCCAATATCTCCAATCTCAAACCTTGTTGACCTTGAATGGGGGGGGTGGCAGTTGATTAATCCGACGTCGACATGACCAACAACCAATCCCAATCTACAGTGCCCATGCACGGCGCTCGAACCTGGGGTATTGGACCCCAAAAACATCCAGATGTGGGGATAACCTCGTTGGGGATCATGTGGCAGCCAAAAACTGTACCGGACATCGAACTATAGTAGGACCATGTAGGACCTCGTCTGTCGCCTTCGGCTCACCGCAGGTTCTACGTCTTGGGTGGCGTGGACGTGCCCCGCTTCGTTGGGAGCTTCGACCTCCCATCCTGGGCCTACGAGGCGACCGACCGTCGGGTCCGAAGTGCGCCGCTTTCAGGCGAAAAACGTCCGGCCACCTGGGGGGGAGGGGTTGGAGGGTGTTGTTTTGGAGGGCTGTCCTATAGGACTCTGATGGTGTGCATATGATATTATAACAAGTATTATAATACTTATATATGACTATGACTATGACTATTACAGTATATTACGTGACGTTGCACCATTGCTGTTTTGAGCTTCTTGTGAGTCCTTGACATTGGCCCAAACCAAACAAATGCTTTGCTTCGAGACCGGAGCCTGACATGAGAAACGCCACATGTCGCAGGACAAGTATCGTCCTGAATGCTTTGACCCCGCACAGAACAGGCCGCTGCTGGGACATCTCGAAGCAATTGGGCGTTTCCGCAGTCCAAGACACTTGTAAAGGATCTCAATTGCCATATTAGGTTCCAACCATTTGTTTCTGGTTGGGATCTGGCTGTCCAGAATTGCATACCATGCCCCAGTCCCAGTCCATGGGACTGAAAGATATGATGCCTAGTAGCACTTTGAGCACTTTGACTTGAGAGTATTTTCTATTCTTTTTGTGTAAGTTATAGATACAGCACAAGGTCAGAGCTCGAGCTCGAGTTCGGTCTGGGGACAAGCACCGAAAGCACGCGAATGAAGGAAGTCTGGGGAGATGAATGCTGCTGGAGACCCCACTCCAAGAGCTTTACGGTTCGCCTAGACCACAGTTGGCACTTGTAAGATCTTGTAAGAGGATAAAGGAATGAGTAATGATTTGTTTCTCAATTGAGAAAAACAAAGCATTACTCAATCCAGGTACTTGAGTTCCCATTTTTCAGGACTTACGAATCTGCTATGGATTCATCAAGAGGTGCTCAAGGTTCACGACGTTGCCTCCGACCATGAGGTGCTCAAGATATTTCCTAGCACACACATACCACGGTATAGATGCCATCATAGACGCTATGGCAAGCAAGGATAAAACCGTCTTGAAGGTCTCCTTTGGTGTGGCAAACAAAAAGTAACCAATAGCAGAGTAACACCACGGGCCCTCCATTCACCAAACCTCAATACAAACGTTTTGTCAATTGAAGCAGTGCAACATTGACCCTTAAAACATTTATATCACAACGCATCAAAATGCACACCAAAAAATGTAGCCATGCATATGTTTGGGATCTGGATACTGCAACTTCATCCCTCGATTTTTGCGAGCACACTATTCACTATTCTACCTCACCACGACAATTATTTCTCAAATGACCAATGACAATCAATCCATTTACAAACAAAAGACACATTCACTGACATTCACAACGACTGACTGTTGCGTCATCCTCCGTGGTGCCTTCTTCTGCGCCACGCATGGCGCGGCTTCCGCTGCTGTTCCTTAGCGTTTCCGCCACCGGTGCGGCCATGCAGTGCCCGGGCTCAGCGGCATGGATCCATGCATCGACGCAGGTGCGCGTGGTTGGTGCGGTTGCGTCATCGTTTTTGGGTGCGACTCGTTGGTTTGTTGGGTGATTGAGGGTTCTAATCTAAGATCTCCGTCCAGAGACTACTTGCCAAGATCTGGTCCACTGTGTAGATACTTTTTGTTGTGTGTGTTGTTGTTCACCATGAATACAGGTGCCTTCATGCGAGAGGGTGCATTGGACCACTCAACTTTGAAGTATGTGGCGCTTTCCCTGCGACGTGGGCGCCGCCGCCGGACCGGGTCCGAAGCGGACGGATGGCGGAGGACGGAGGACGGAGGGATCCGGTCTGTCGGCATGAACATCACTGATGTGTCTCTCAATCATGGAAAGACTAGTGACTATACTAGTGACTAGACTACAGATGGACCAGTGACTAGACTACAGATGGACCAGTGACTAGACTACAGATGGACCAGTGACTAGACTACAGATGGACCAGTGGCTAGACTACAGATCACAACCCCCTTGCGGTGCTTGACCCCCCCCCCGAAAGGGAAGGTAGTAGTGATGACTATAGTAAACATGTGTTTTGCTTCGGGGGAGAGAAGATGTCCACTGCATCATTCAGGTTTGGGTGACTTCGGCTCACATAGATCCGGCAGGCTACCACCGTGGTACGGTCGTTGTGAGTTGTGCGCCACTTCTATAGGTGACTGGTACAGGTGCAAATCCCAACTTGAACTAGACAATTCCTCGTGGAAAAGGCGCAGATCCTTTGCAGGCGGCCCGTCCCACGTTCTTCACACTTTCAAGCTCTCCACCTCTTCAAGCGTGACTTGATTGATGCCACCACCGGGTCGAACAATGTGTGCCAACACGTATGGTTGTCGATCTAAAGGTCCTAATACATAGCGTTGATTACGATGACCCTGGAACATGTCAAAACCTCATTTGGTGATAACACCCATGTATTACCTGATTGTTTTTGTGTTAATGAAATGTGTCGACCTCCGCCCACGTGCCAATTTCTGCAAACTCCTCCGCGCTCTTTGTGCTCTCCACCAAGATGGACGCGTTTGGTTGCCAGGTGGAGGCGGTGGCCGACACCGAGTGTCGCAAGGTGCTGGAAGAGATCCGGGCGCGGGTCAGCGACAAGGAGTGGGTGGACCCACACAACGGTGGAAACTTGAGCTTGGATGTTAACGATGGTTTCTTATGGGTTTGTATTTTTTTGGCGTGTACTTCCTGATGTAGTGGTTGGAAATTGGACTTGAGCGATTCATACACTCGAATCATACCCCTCAAGAAGTAGGTGTAAGAACTCGGTGTTGAGGTGAAGCTTTTGGTTGGTCTTTGTGCCTTAATAGATGTCCATGACCCAATGGTGCATTACGCTTGCAATTGTGCGATCCACGGGCATTCAACTTGGCCAAATTGTCGGTCTTCTTGTGGGAAGAGCAAAGGCTCACATCCCAGGGGTACCAATGTTCCCATGTGCCCTCCCTTGGGAAGAAGAGCCAAAGGATCGCCTTCTTTTGCAGAATCTAATGCCCATACGAATCACACCCGATTCATACCCGAATCACGCACCTCCACACAGTCTCCCACCCATCCCACAAACTGGTTTGGTGGGGCCTGGGCCACTGGTGTGCGCTGTAGTCACAAGGGTCGTGCCTTTGGTGGGGTGTGGGGTCTTTGGTACGGCGCAGAAGTGGGCCCACTGCTGGAAGTCCACAATACAATTTCAAAGCTGTGAATCATACCCTCGAATCATACCGCCTATTCAATCTTCCCGGCCCGTCTATACGGAAACAAATACACACCCATATGGTTTTTAGGAAATCTTGAAAGCCAGTGGATGGATTTAAAGCCAGCCTGGATTGTTAACCAATTTGGATGTTGTTCTGGGCTTCAGATGGTTTCAGGGGGAAGTTGGGCAGTTTTTCAACGATAGTCGGGCATTCAGATGTTGTCAGGCTGTTTGTTACTATTGAATACTGTTGATGACTAAACATCCCATATACAATGACGTGACACCATTCTGGTAGGGTGGGCTTTACACATTATATACCGGTATACATCTATTATCCACAGGTGTAGCTACCATGGAGTCAGGTGTCTAATTACGACCATTCTGGAGTAGATAGAACATGATAATATCTATGAACCATGACCAGTGTCCTATTTTTAAAACAACCTGTCCATATTCCATTGAGGGAAGGCAATTTTGTTGAACTGTCAGTTCCTCGCCAGCCGCAGGTTTGCTAGAATATTCTTTACTCAAAAATAGATTGTTTTTCACCACAGAATGCTTACCACACTTTGGGGGTCAGCAACTGCCGCATGTTCGGACACTTCTTTTCGGAGCCTGGACGCCATGCATGGCCTATAGGGAATTGCAGCAGACCCAAAGACTCATCCTGTGGAAATGGCTGGTCAAACGCTGTATATACCTAGATCCCGTCCAAGCCTCTTTGTGATTGATGGAACAAGACCATATTTCAGTGGTTGGTAGTCCAAGAAAAGTTTTCCTTTGGGTCTGGGAAACCTAAGAAACAACCAGCAGGAAGTGGTGTCATCTCCATATTGTATCTAAATATACTTTCCGTGGGTGTTTCTATTACATACACTCCCTGGAACTAACATGGAAGTGGAGAATGGCCCCTTTGAAGACCATAATTTTCCTCTACAAATGCCATCCACTTCCATGTTAGTTGCAGGGAGAGCAGCAGTTTTAAGACCAATGCTTCACCCCAACCTTCCATGACCATCCATGTGCTCATATGCATGGTTGCTAGAAATGGGTTTTAACAATCATTAAAGAAACACAGACCACTGTTTACAAGGAAGACCAAACATCTAGCTGAGCTACATACATTAGGGTCATATATGGAGGTAAATGGTAACACGATTCCATACGTGGATGGTTTGAGCATGATGTTTCCTTGAACAGAGTAAGGAACCTACAGCCTGGAATCCGGCAATGGAGATCTCCTCGAACTCTCCCGGCTGACCGGCAACAAGCGATACACGGACCAGAAGCTTGGGCTCGGACCGTTTGAAGCATGAATACGTGGCAATCGAGGGGTTTGTTTGACCACGGCTGGAAACGTTTGCATTGTTTTTTGCAACCTCTTTCTATGAATTTGCTTGAGGATCACTGTCACTGTTGTTCATATTGTTGGATCAGTAATTTGAATTTCAATTGTGTGGAGTGCCGGATTGCAGCAACAGACTCTATTGGTATAATGGCAATGTCGGCGCCGGACATAAGGTCCAAGCTTCTTGCTGGCTCCCTCTACAAAAACCTCTGTGAGTGTGCCACTGTGATCTATATCTAACGGACCTCGACAGAATGATATGATATGGTAAACTTTATAGCGGTTACAATGTGCTGAACAAAACACAGCCAGCATCACTTTCAATGGGGTACAGCAACTTTGTGCAACTGCCACTGCTCTGAGATAGCATAGCATTCCTCTGAGTATATATAATTATGATTTTTAAAGCTTTAATATAGCATGAGGCGTGTACTCTCATTTGCCATCATCAGTTGAAAGATCCTATGTTGACCAGCTCTTTTTGTGTGTGTGAAATCACTCAGATCAATCATTCTCCGACTCCAATGTTACACGAGAGATGCACTGCTTGGGTCGTGTGAGGGCCCAAGCAGCGAACCAAGGATGACCTTTACCTTCACCCCGCAAGGAAAGACTTGTGCGATTCACGCCTGCTCCGAGTCACAGGCTGCTTGACAAGAATCCGTTCACAACGCCGTGAACGCTCTTGGAAATGGACAAACGACAGGAGACTGACCAGCATGGACCAGCTCTACAGTGCATTGTTGAAGCTGTTCCAATGGTGATATTGATCATCATCATATGATTAGTGCTACTGTATCTCTCAAACTAAAAAATAGGATATATATATATATCAAATCGGACCACATATACCCTATATATCTAATGATCTATGTCCTCTTTGTACCTCTTTGTGAACATACTCACTTCGTTGGGACGCCTTTTCGCCGACTTGAAAGGACGGTCGGGTTTGCCGCCGACCTTCACAGACCGTGCGACCCGGAGGGCGTCTTCGTTCAGGTCTTTTCGATTGCTGACTTCTCGACCAACTACTGCAACCTTCGTAACCTCTATTGTGGCTCAGAGGACTGCGCCCGAAGTTAGGTGAAGTTAGGACCTGTTGTAGCAAGGGTGAAGACAGACTTTTGGGGGGGGCAAAATGAGATATTTCAATTGAGTCAGAGGGGCCTGTCATTGTTGAGAAGAGGCATTGTTGTTAAGCAAGAATCCGTTTTAGAAAATTTGTCCATCTTCATCATATCTGTCTAGATTCATAAGACATGTTTCCGAAGATGTTTTTTCATTTTCAGGGATTAAAACAGGAGAGGCACCATGAACGTCGGCGTGAAAACAAGGTTGGTCACGGTGATGCAAGGTGTTGGTCTTGCCAAATGATGCACCTATGGGAGAGTCATCCGCATGACACAATCATCTAAACTCAGTTCATTTGGGCCAATTTGGCTTTGCCAAGGCATGTTCCAGTGTGCCCCCAAGTCCCAAAATGGCAGTCATTCTTCCATGTTGCTGTTTTGCGTAAACAAGTCCTTTCACCGCCTGTCACCAGTGTTTCGGGGCGGCCCACCGGAAGCTCGCGATCCGTGCTGGAGCCTCCTACGCGCCGGTCTCGTGCAGGAGGGCTGTCAGTTCGTGCGCCATGACTTTGCCACAGAGGAGAAGAAGATCGATCCCTCCTTTGGAGCGGGCACGGTCGCCTGGAAAAAGAAACAGTTTAGATCGATGTGATGGAGAATTTCATTGACCACGAAGAATTGCCATTTTTTGGCACCAAACGGCAAACGGAAGGTCCATACACATGTTCTTTGTGTTCTTTGTTCTGCCAGAGTATGGGACCCAATGGGATGAAGACTCAACCAGATGGTTTGAATTGAAACCGCGTCAATGACCAGTTGTGAGGTGTTTAGCTTTTGGGAGTTCTCTAGGCCCAAACTCCGGTGAATGCCTCATGTACCATGGATATTGGCATTGTCTTTTGTGTTTCATTTGTGGGTTTCTGACGTTTTGTGAAGACGTAGACACGCACACCTCGGACGGCAAGCTGAGGACAAAGCAGCTTGCATGGGAGCTGCAGGCTGCTCGGACGTTCCCAAAGGCCGTGTTGTGGCATATATGAAGCCAGGTGGCATAGGCTCACAACACTCACTCCCCAGCAAGGATCCGACAAGCTGGAAAAACATGTGGAGGTCCTCTCACATGATGGGGTACACTCCTCCTTAGAATACTCATGGGGCCCGGGTTGCTTGGCCATGGGCCCCTTGGATGATCACCAAACAGGTGGTGAACGCCACTTCCAGGCACTTCCATGATAATGTATCTTCAAAAAAACAAAAAAAACGCGCGATGTGGTGGCTTCAAGTGCTGTTTGGCCCTTATGGTGTAGTGGGTTCCAAGGAATGATGATGGTTTCTGACATGTTGGGACCACGCCATCGCATGCCATCGCCCGGCCATGCCTTCCCATCCAAGAAGTATACCTGTATATAAACATGTTTTCCCGTCAGACGTGCCTTATTGGAATGGGGGGGAGAACATTCATGAATGATCATGAAGCCCCTCTCGATTGGGCATTTCGCCCATGGTGTAGTACGATGAGAGCTTGAACTTGAACATCTATCTACAGTATACATTAATACAATATGCAGTACTTCAGACGCCGTGCGATAGCGTACTGGGGGTACTGCAACCCGGCGTCAAGCTTCCTGGGGTTCTTTAGCAATTCTTCCCAGTTTGTATTCACGTGCAAGTTCGCAGAGCGAATTCAGTGGAACATATAAATTGTCATCTCCCAACCTCATCCTCATACGCCTGGAAGGACTGGGAGAGACAGAAACGGCAACCACATCTACTGTATGCACCACACACAGAAAAGACTTGCTTTCTTAACATGTTCTATGACTATGAAAGACTGGAACACCCTCAATGCATCCCACTTGTATGATTGAAGGTGCTGAGGTGATGATTCCTGGAAATACAACGGAGTGTACTTTCCAAAAAGGAAAGACACCAGCAATTCCGAACACATCCCACTTGATGTTGAAGAACATGTCTCACATACATCTTTTGAATAACATACATACATCACATGTTGCCTTTTTATGTCAGACCCTATCGGAGTGACGTACCTGCCGTACCGGACTTAGGGACCTCCATCTTCGCCTCCCACTGGGTTACGGCGCCCACAGACTTCTGAGCGACGGACCCAAAAAGAGGTGCAGTGCAGTGTCAGGCAGTGCCTTTCTAGGAGGTTGAACAGTTTGGTATCACATGTCTTCAAGCATTTATATAATTTGCTTTCAAGGTTCAAGGCTTAACTTTCAAGGGTGAAACTTGGAGGTTAGAGGGTTGAAACTTGGAGGTGGATCCCTCAATTGAAAGGTTGATGGAAAGAATATGAAAGGAAACCAGTGTAGAATGCTCATTCCTGTAGCATGGGATTCTTTTTCGAGCACGTGGATATTTTTCTACAGACGGTCCATGAGAGGTCCAGCTTACATGCACTATCTTGTTTCATCTTATTTCCATTGCTCATTCAAATCTTTGATTCAAGGGCATCAGAAAATATCAGAAAGCCACACGAGGAGATGAGTATGTGTGACCATCATGTGCTGTCTTCACGTCCCAAAGTCCAATGACAAGCCTTGAAACACTTGACCCATCGCTTGTTTGACAGCCCATGTGGCAGTCTGTTCCAGCAGTCATCATCCTTTTCGTTAGATGCCTTTTTTGGTTTCGCTCACTCTCCACCTCAGAAGGAAAGTGGCTGCATAAGAATGGGAACCATAATTACTCTCCCTGCAACTAACATGGAAGTGGAAAACATACTGTTCGTAGAGGATTTCATGGTCTTCCAAGAGGCCATTGTCCACTTAACCATTCTTAGTTCCAGGGAGTGTAGTAGGTTTTCCTCCCCAATCCTACACCTGTCCTTGGCTCTATATATGGTGAACTAAAAGCAAAACCCGATGGTTCCTCCAGACGGTTCCCATGTGTCCCGTCACAGCTCCTGACCACCAAAGACCCGACCACGTCCGACAGATGGGAATTGCTGCCCGCGATGAATCGGCCCTACACGCATGTCCGGAACCCGCGGGACGCGGAGGAACAACGGCTTCTGTTCATCGATTGACCTGTTTTTTGGGTTCTGGGCTTTGGCTTATGTGTGCTTCATCCGTGGAGGAACCACGGTGTTTGTTTCTTTTTGGTGCAATCCAGAATGGGACGGTGGCGTTCCTGCTTTGGGGGCATGGTTTTTTCACGGCTTCTCCGCTCCGGTCGGATTCGCCGGGGGTGGAGGGGACGAGCAACATAGGACTGCCAGGAAACGGGGATGCTTGACTGGAGGCGGCGGATATAGAATGAGATAGAAGGGAGACCTCAAGGTATCGGATTCTTCGATTTTGCATGTCCGGTATGCCGGGTCCGGCGATGCGCGAGAAAAAGCTTGCCTTTCAAAGCCAACATGTATAGATGGACCATGTTTGTTTTTTGAGCACTACATGATTGACTGGTGGCCACTTGCAGGAGGATTTGAAGGATCTTAAGATTTGGGTCAGTGAAAAGAAACATCCTGTACTGGGCAATGCTCAACTAGATCTCTGTGAACAACAGTTGTTGATTTGTGTACAGCTTAAACCTGGTGACATTCCAGCAGCCCTACTAAAAGCAACCGGCACCCCCGCTTCTTAAAGCAACCCTTCTTCTTAACCCTTAGGTTGCACCTTCCTCGGGCACCAGCCCTACTAAGCAGCCCTGAAAGCTTCGTTCCGACGCCTGACCGGAACACACGCCGAAAAAGCGATTGTTGACGCCCCGAGGCGGCCGCGACAGCGTTGGGGGGCTACATCTATGTTTTTGGCGGCTTGAGTTTTGGGCACGTTTTGGACCAGGCAGATGGGAGAGGGGAAGTTTGGGGCTAGTAAAGAAAAGGAGAGCGTTGTGAATGCAAGGGTTGGGACAAGGTGTTGTTTTTTGCTATTGGTGTTTTTCTTTTTGTGTTCCTTGTTGTTTCAAGATGTTTTCAGTGTGCATTTGCTACATCAGGAGTCAACATGGTAGAGCCTTGTACTCGGCAAACTGCCCATTCAGGCTCCGCAGCTCCGCAGCTCAGGGGTTAGGATGAGATTTTCCCCTCCACACATGGAGAGAAAGCAGCTGCGAGAGGAGTCAGATTCTTACCGAACCTTGGCTCCGAAAATGGTAACGAATCCGAACATCTCAAAGCACCTGGAAGATCAGAATGATTAATCGATTACTATTCTTTGACTACCAGAAGAGGGCATTGGTGGGCGAGGATGATCGCGAGGTGGCTGAGGAAGATGAGAATGGATCGATCTTTTGGGTCAAGAGTGGCCACCGCTTAAACCCAGTGGAGGACCATGCGATGCGTCCACAGTTGATGAGGCTTCGCGGACCTTGACTTCACTAGCAGAAGTGGACAAAGTCTAACGAGCACACTGTCGCACCCCAATCATTAATATGTGTTGAAGATGTATTAAAGATGTGATGAGTTTTCCGAGGCGAGTTGATTGACGCGTGAGCCTTCCACTCACCGGGCGCATGAACCATCAGTTTCTACTGGCAGACGCCCAGCAGAATGCTTGTTGGTGGCTGCCCACATGCCTATCGTCCACGTTATTTAAACCCTTGAAAGCCTTGGCTTGGGTCCTCTGCCTCCCTATTCTGTATGTTTATTTGCTGATTGGCTAATCTATTTTAAAGATAAGCCGCAGCTTCCCCGCTTACACGTGAATACCGGTCTACCCCAGAGCTTCACCCTTTGGACGTTACATGATGTTTTCTCCTCCATTTAGGATTCAAGTCCATAGATAAAGCATATCAGAGAGCCAATCCATGGGATGCTTTGTGCCGTCAGGCCCAACGTTTTGCCCATGGACAGTGGGAATGTCGGGAGCCTCACGTGGTGACCTGTAAGGATGCACTGGGACAGCTGGAGGCGCCCGGAGCACATCATTGAGCACTAAACAGGGTTCCTGCGGATGTGTGTTTTATCACGACCACCGCTTCTTGAGCAATCATGCCAAAGACGGGCTGGCACTGCAATCACAATGCTGACCATTCCGGGATTTCCATTCCCGCATTTTCCATGCCCTTTCCTCTTTTTCTTCAGCTTTTCAGGCCAGCCAAGACGGCCGACATCCATCTCCTTCACCGGTGGCCGCGGCCATGGCCGTGGCTGCGATGTTTCACGTTGGGCCGCCGGAGCCGAGGTTTGGATCCGATGCCCACGCCACGCTTCGAGTGTGACCCCGGCCCAGAGCGGGCCAGAGCGCGGAAGCGGCGGGGAGAGCTGGAGTGCCCGACCCGTTCACGCAGCTGACGTAGCTCCACCCAAGCAAGGTATTCTGGTTTTCTATGTTCCGCCTGCTCAGTGGATGGAAGATACTTTGCCTGGAAGAATCATGGGGACGTAGTACATATGGGATCATATGGGTACGTGGTACATAAAAAAAGATGGCATGGCCCAACGACTCATGGATGACCATGAGGATGCAAAGACCAAACAGGTGGTGAACTCCACCAAACCATGATGATTCGAACGGGAGTTTAGAGTTTGAAGTGTCCAGTGGGGCCTGGAGTGTCAGGAGATAGACGAACGGAAATACTTACGGAAGATGCTTGGAGTTATGTGTGAGAGGCCTCGTTTGCTGGTGCCTGTTTCTGGTTGTTTTGGCCGTTCCTCTTGGTTCCCAGAGTGGTTTTAGAGGAATTGGGGGGAAGGTTCACTGAAACAAGTGGGCCCGGCCCCAGACACATGGCTCTCACGTGTCTCGCCAGCCACACGATGCTTTTTGTTGTCCAAAGAAACCAGCGGAGCTGATGGGACACACCGAAAATCGAACCAACAAATTCACCTCCGCTGGTTTCTGACTGGTTTCCAGACTGGTCTTCAGACCCAGAGGTCAACAGTTGTATAGTTGTGATTTGTTGTGTCGTGCTAGGTAGAGAGCACGCAAAACAGTGATCATTGAAGACCACTCATTTACACGAAGATGCATAGAAATAAGACAAAGGCTCTCTCTCTCTAGACTCTAGAGGTATTATATACATTTATATACTGTGTATATTTGTATATGTATATAGTATAGATGATGTATAAATACCCTCCTGTATGCTTTGTATATCGCGACAGACCCTCTTCTACATTGCACCTCACAGTAATATGTAGACCTCTCTCCTTGCACCACTACCACACGCACACAAACACGCAGAGCATGTTGGTAAATTTGGCTAAGCCCTACAAAAGGTCTATTTGGCTGCCAGCCCTACAAACTGACCTTGGATGTCATGAAGCTATCTTGGAAACACAAAGGAACCATCCAAAACCTCCAAACCATCCAGGACAGGTGTCGGACAGGAGCTTTTTCTGAAGAAAGCTCAAGCCTTTCGAGGATTGGGGACCACGGACCACGGACCACCGAATTCGACTCCCAGGTACCGCTGCGGCGACCAAGGGCCGGATCTACGTGGGGACGCCGGATCTACGTGGGGTTGAAGACCGGGAAAGGGAGCATGAGACGTACAGTATGGCAGCTACGCAGCTACTGGTATCATATATTACCATGTATGTAGAGGATATGATGCATATATGCGTACATATTAATATGCATACCACTTGATCATTTTGGGTCCTTAGTGCTGTGCATTTTGAGGATGTTGTCAGCCTCCAGGTGATTCTTGTAGGCCTCGAATACCCTCCAGACATTCTTGTCTCAAGTGTCCTTTCTTGCTAGCTGCTAGCTCCTTGGAATGGTGCAAAGCTGTTCCGAGGATGCGTTTTCTTCCAAGTCAAATGGAATGCCTGCGCAGCTTCCACTCCATTTTGTTCAGGATCCCATTCGACCACGATCAACTGTAGTAATCTGAGGGGAGCCAATGTCCGCCAACCAACCATTCCCAACCAATCTGGAACACCTTCGTCAAGTGATTCAACAACTAAATAAGATCATCAATCAATAAAATATTTCCTCACTGACTATATGATTTCTCACTTATTACATGTGTCTTCCAGCTGTTTACGCCCAACCATTTCAGATACCCTTTTCCTCACCCCTCTGAAACATTTCCGACTCTCAGAATGCATTGTCACTTGATCCAGAAAGTTATTGAAAATCATAGATTGTTTTCATAGATCTCATTTGAACGCGTTGGAAGGGAAATCATAACTTTGTCCATTGTCCCTCAGGTCCTGGGTGGTTCCAACATCTCCGGCGAAGCCCTGGGCTGCGTCGAGTGTCGGGAGCCTTGTCGAGAGACCTGACAAGATCGGAGCTTCATACCTAGTAAGATTGGATAACCTGCAAAACCCTTTTTGGGTTATCCTCTTTTGCAGGTTTATCCTCTTTTGGATAAGGTCTTCCAGGTGTTCCTAGGTTTATCCTTTTGTGGTTACCCTTTTTGGAATAAGTGGTTGTCCTCTTGAAAACTATCCTGTTGAACCAGAGAGTTCGCATTGTGACCGGACAACCCGGTTGGTCGCCACCGCCCTGCCCGGCAACGGCGCTGGCATGGACTGTGGTGCCAGACGCGCGATGGTATAAACACCTTGTCCCTAATAGGAAACTCAGCTTGTTGATCTTGTCTTGTTGTTCCTTGGAGGGCCCAACACGGTCCAACCTCCCCAGCCACTTCGGCTTCCTTCGGCTTCGGCCTTCCGCTTCTTCGCGTGTGGAACGGGTTTGAACGGGTCCAACTCGAGGTGGAGAGTGTCGTTTTAGATTCGTGTGGCACGACATGGCATACTTCGGTTTTGATGGAGGCTGGAGGAAGCGAATTACGGATCAACATACTACACCTGAGTTACTCTGCCCTGGACATGTCCATGAACCACCTTGGATGTGATCCGGGGTCTTAATTCATCATCCCTTTTTTGTGGAGTTTGACCATGTTCTATGTAGATCTGGCGTTGCGGGGTCAAGCCTCTTAGTCGAGTCGTGTAATATATGTGTGATTATGATTGATTATGTGTGTGTGCTTGATCATGCTTTATCATCACTATTGCTTCTTGCTTTGAGTCCTTTTTGGATCCATTTGCTCGTAGTAAAAGACATGTGTCGCATGTGTGTTTGGGCTGAACTGATCAGTTTTCCCAGAGGCTACGAGCCTTCCTCTGGGCTTTGGCGGCAGTTGCCGGAAATGCGGCAGGCCACGGTGGCAGAGACGATTCCCGACCAGGGTCCAGGTGGAGAAAGTTAGACCCTGAGATCAACCACCCCAAAGTAGGTAAGCTTATAGGGTGTAAACAAAGTAGGAAGAACACACAAAGGATCACAAAGGTAGGTCAATCAACACACACTGGTAAGTCTATGTAATTCCCCCTGATGGGCCAAATGCACCTTGGGTAAGTAAACTGGCTCTGATGGGCCCAGTTTGGTGCTATGTTTACCTACAAAAAAGTAGACTGCCTACAAGATTGTTTGGGGGGATTAGTTCGATTAGTTTCCCGGCTCAAGACCATTAGGTGGACAAAAAGCTATCTTGACAAACACATGAAACTTATTCTTTCTACATGTTACGCTCTAGATCGGCTCAGATCGGTCATTCTTCGCCCACTTCGGTTCGGGTGGACCCACCGCGGAGCCCGTAGACAGCCCCGTAACGGTCTTCCCGGGGGTGAAGGTCGGATCTGAAGCAGTACTATGACGACATGTGGTTCACTGCAGTATGTTACATCTTAAGCAGTAGTATCTTAAGCAGTATGTTACATACTGTATGATTGTATGTACTTAACAGGTCAATATTATACGTGGAATTACCATGATGTATGTGGGCTACCACGCCGGGTGCTCAACCGGGCCGTGAGACCAGACACCATCACTGACAGTGTCGGGACAGTATCCTCCCTGGTGTGGGAAGATAGAATCCTCCCTCCCAAAGGTTCTGACCCTCAAGGTGCTCAGGTTTGTGGTCCAGTCTGGAAAATGACCCGGGATCTCTTTCTTCCTTTTTTATTTCAATGCTTTGAAGGTACACCTGGTGGAAGAGAGAGACCCACATGGAACCGGGCTTGGCATGGACCAGACTGAAAGACAGATGCTTCCTTCACAAAGCAGTGCTTTTTTCGGGAACTCCATGTGACTCTTCCAGGGAGTAGGAAGAGATTTCTGATTGGTGGCATATGTACCCATTCTATTGGGGGTGGTTGAAAAGAGGGGTTAACAAAGGTGTATATATTGCTCCATACATGGAGTGTTTTGGTGTCCTGATACCCACAACAGGGTTTCCGAATGCCACAACTAGCTGGCAGGTTGTGGATGTCCTTGTTTGTTTGATCCGCTCTTTTGGATTTATCCTGCGATGATCATCCTTGGAAAGAGGTTGTGGGCTGCAAACCCTGCACACCTCAGCTGACCAAGGGGAGAGATGGGCAAAAACAGGGACAACAGCGCTTTGGTTGGTGAGGAGTTTTGTTGGCTGGAGCGGTTGGGTTTGTTACAGTTCGGTTTGGTTCGTAGTGATCTATTTTGATGCAACTTGTATGGTTCGGAGATGGGCGCTTCGTCGTGCATGTCTGGCACTTCACGGTCTTTCCCTGGGACATTTTTCGTGCAGGGAGAAAGCATGTTCGTCTGTGCGTCATTGAGGTGAAGCTTGTATCAACCCACATGGACATAAAAGCAGTCACTATTTGCTCTTGGGGGTTTCGGGGTAAATCAGGTTGCTAGGTACTATCTATCACCCTCAGATTGTTGCAGGTAGGTGCCTCGTGATTTTACAAAAAGACATCATATTTCAAGCGCTCAGCTGCGCATCTTACATCGTTCGCGTCGTTTTGATGGTTTATACCCAAAGGCCCAGTGATTAGGGGGGGCATCCGTTGGCGAGTTCCGAAGAGCTTCGACGGGTCGGTTTTCCGCTGCGCCAGGCTCGCTATGGAAGCGCCGTGGCGGCGCTGAAAGGAGAAGACCACAAGTCAGCATGTATGGAATGTATGTGTACAGTGTACATATGTATATGCGGGCTATTCATTATTAGGGTATTTTGGGGGAAGTAATGTATCTGTATGTGTACATATTTATATGCCTATATGCATTATTAATGTATTTTTTGGGGGAGTCAATGTAGGCACATATTCCAGTCCTGTGGAGTGTTTGGGGAAGAGGCTGAGATGTTGGCTTTGCTAGGGTGATAGGAAAACATAGAGGAACTGCGACCCCCAACTGGATGGATCAACCTCAGCAGCGGTTAAAATCATGCACTGATCAACACTTATTAGTGAACTGGGGATTTCACCATGATGGTAGCGGTTCAAATTGGATACAGTAGGAACCATCAATGAAAGACGATTTGTGGCGCGGCGCTTGTTCTATTCGTGCAACATGTGAGACTTGACCTTGCTAAAGGCACATCACTGTCCAAGAGCTCAGATGCCACGCAGAGCTAAGAGGTACCCTCCTGCAGATGAAACATGGACCCGCAAAACCTCTATCATCCTCCACAGATCAACTTTCAGGGTCCATCCCAGTTTGCAGGAGGGGTAGCTTGCCCCCCAAGCCGCGGCCCTAGCCTCACACACAGATGGTGTCCAAGTCAAGAAAACCACAGTTTTCCCGGCTTTCCCCCCCTGTCACGCGACGGTCCAGATTTCACCCAAACACCCTGTGCCAGGACGTGTCTATGTCTTTGGCGGGCATAGCCATTGGGTGCGGGCTGCCGCAGCTGTCCACCTGGGCGGGTCTGAAGAAGGGATCGTTGAGTGTGGGAAAGTCCTTTCATTAGCACGTTTAGTTTTGGTTGGTGGGTGATTCAGATAATTAACACATATTTAAGCTAATTATATATAAGTTATTCATTGTACTTTATGATTGTATTTCCTTTCTGAGGCGCTTCTCCGCTCCAGATGGGCATCGCTGGGAACACAAATCTTTAGTCGCCAGTACTAGTATGAGGAATCCTGAGGCTACTGTAATTAAGGCCTTTGGCTTGAGCTTAACTATACATATATAGACAATAGACATGCTTTAGACAGAGATGACAGAGATTATAGATCATTTATTTGATCATTAGAAAGTAACATGTGCGAGATCTTGCCACTCAGGACCTCCAAGTGTTCGTCTCATTTTCACGTATTCAATCAGCATGACTTGCCAACAAAAATCCTAGCAGCCTATAGTCACTATAGTCCATATCAAATGATCAGATGAGTCATTTGATCGGATTTCATGTCTGTTCTGCAGGTTCGGAAGCCAGTTCCGCCCTCGGTTTGGCGCCCCCCCAAACGTGCAACTCACCTATCTAAGTCCTCCCGCTCAAAAATGTCCCAAAGTGCGCCGGGGTGGCACGGATTTCTTGACGTCCTTCTTGTTACTCTTATTCAATGTAAGACAAGGGCAGCAGCTGATTTGCCTTCAGAGACTTAGATTACCATTTTGACATGGAACAACATATATATATATATATTATAATATAATATACATAATATATATATATGTATATATGTACATATATATTCCTTGAACTTCCCTGCCCCAGTTTTGCTCCTCGAGCACCAAGCTGCCTGCGTGGCATCGCGCTGGCTTTGCACTTCGGTGCCAGGAGAATCTTTCGGACTGCGAGTGTTACGATGCAGAGCTCGAAAGGCGTGTTGTTTTCACATCGGATGATGCGAGGGGAATTTATGAGTCGAACATAGGGCTCCGAGCTACGGGTGAAGCGAGCTACGGCCATGGGCATGTTCAGCAAACTGGATGGTTTGATGGGGGCGGTGGATCATGGCAAGTGCGCTCCACTGTTCTACCAGGCGCCCGTAGCTGAATTGAGTTGCCTTTCAATTGACTGTGGGGCCTATCAATTGTTTGGGACACATGACACATTCAACGTCACCAAGGAGATCGAAGTCATGTCTTCCTCTGTACTTGGGCCAACTGTGTATGTTCCTCCCGGCCCGGCCCCCCCTCCAGAAACAGTTCTGGAATATTGTAGAGTAACTCGTAGAAAGCTGATTGCGTGGTGTGGAAAAGTAATCCGGGCGTATCACTCTAGAGTTCTATTGTTCAGTTGACAACCGGGTGTTGCCAAGGACCAGCTTGACGGGACCTTTTTGTGGTTACTGTTGGGACAACATTCGGGACTTCGGGACAACAGCAGTCATTCCTGGCAAACCATCACAGAATTTTGGGAGAAACAGCTGACCGGTGTGAAACAGCCTGTGATGGAGAACCTTTGCATGTCTTCACAGCCTTGCCTATCCTTGCCTTACTCATTTGAGAGGGTGCTCGATTCATGGTTGTGGATCAGCTGGTTTTTTTCTCATCTACCATAGCAGGACAAACAATGCTGAATACTTACTACAGTAGACAAAAAAGGGCGGAGATTTGAATAAACAATCAATGTTGGTCAGAATTAATGCTCCCAGCCTGTCACCCTCAAAAGAGATGTCGGAGCGATCCCTATAAAGCCCATCATCCCACGAACCTAAGCACCCCGTTCACTCTAGCTGATACCCAGTACAATGGAACATGCCCGTAAGGAAAGAGTGTACTCGTCTACCAACCGTTTCAAATTCCCAAAAGGATCCAAATGGTTTTTGTTCACCAGATTTCCTCAGATGTCCTTTGTTCACCAGATATTTGCTGAATCTCTCACCAAGGCGACTAGCAACCCGACACCTGCTAACCCCGCACCTATTAATCAGCCTCGCTTGGCTAGGAACCTGGGCAATGAGTGTCGGTGATTCTCGGCCATGCATGGCCAGGTGGTTTCCTCTCCCTGCCATGGCCGCTCCTCGCAGCCACTGTGGTGACTCGGTGGGTGGCAGCATCGGCGGAGTCGAGAAGCAGGTCTGGTCGTTTGTATGTGGTGGATAAGGCGGAAAGCAGGATGGCCCAAACAGACCTATTGATGGAGAATTCGGTTCTAAAAATCTAAAACATCTAGAAGTGATGGTGATGGACCAGTTGTTTCAGGTAGAACAGAACTGACAAACATCCACTCCCGAGCTCCTTCCAGACCCTGATGAAGAGGGTTTTGTTTTTGGGGAAGTGGGCATAGTTCTGTGGCACAGATGAACATACTAACGACAGACATCAATCCATGCTGAGGATCTACGCAGCTCAAAGGCTTGTTGGACCCTCATAGCTAGGGTTTTGACCCTGAAAACTAGGGGTTTGGGACCTAAATCATGTAGCAGTTGGTTCAGATCCATGAGCTTTTGGAAGAACATCAGTTCGGTCCAACAACCCGCAGGTTCCCCATTTCCATGGCCCGGCCAGCGACTTCCAACCCCGATTCTGGGCTTTGTACAGCGACTGCGCCACGCGAATGGAAACAGGACTGAGGAGGGCATCGCTACTAGTAGCAAGAAGATGCCGGCTCTCTCACAATAATGGTGGTGGACAATGGCCCCTGGTGGTGGACGATTCGCCTACATTACGTACAACCAGTTGGGTTTTCATTTTTGTTGCAGGGAAGGTAAATATAGAGTCAATTCCATCCACAGTTGAACTTCCAATGAGAAACCACAGGTTTTGGTCCATGCCGAACGCCCCTGCAGCGGCTTCTCCTGCTCAGGGGCGGCTGCCGCAGGTGGTCGAATTTATGTCTTCGGTGGCCACACCAATGGCCAGGCAGCGACTGTGGAGACTGTTCAGTGGGGCCGTAACCTGCATCTTGCGCAGGTTATTTTCTTCTTCCAGGGGATCTCTAATACACATCCACATACCAAAAGGTGGTTGGATAACAGTGGATGAAGGATAATATTTAGACCAATCCGCCAATCCCCGCTTTGAAGCATTTTTCCGAGGTGGCTTAAATGCATGGTCGAAATACACCCTCCAGGGGTCAACTCGGGGTCAACTCGGTTTCATGAACTGATACTTGCTATCAATTGATATATTCTCCAGAGTAAGAACAATCCCAAGAAGAGATATGGGTGTGTATGTTAATAGGGAGACGTCCCAGGCAACGACTCCCTGGAAGAAGGGAAATCGATAGACATAGATCAGTCTACCCCCATTGGTGCTGCGAGCCAGGGGGTCTCCCGATATGGACACACACACACACCCATAATGGACTGCGATTGTTGCTTTGTTCCCCTCAAGGAGCTCAAGGACTCAGATCGAATTGCAGGGATCGATCCACGTTAGGAACAACGAGGCGAAGGAAGTCGGTCGCGGATCCAGGTAAAGGTAGGACTGGATTGACTGGGATTGTAGGACGGGATAAGTGGGATAACTCCTGAGTTAACCCAACTTCAGTCAGACACGAGTCCAGACACTCTGATTGTATGTCATGTAATTCTATGTAATTATGCCTGGGCCTACATTGACCCCTTTTTCAGACACCCTAACTCATGGGCACATATGGCAGTCCCAGGGCGTGTTTGGGATAGGCATCCAAACTCCACCCTGGAAGTCAGTGGGACCATTTTAAGAACGGTTGATCTTCGTTTTGCAGTGTAAAACCCAGTAAGACCATGGTTCTTCGGGATTCAGACCATGAAATCAAGGGTGCTTCGACTCTCATCGACTATCACCACCAGGGTCACCAGATTCTCTCGTCAACCACATCCGCCCCGCCGAGAGAGGCCACACTCATCCACTGCCCTCACCGCCATCGGTGGGTCCGGCGGTCAGGACATCATGACCATCGACTGCCTCGATCCCGAGACTCTCTCCTGGGAGGTACGGAGCCCATGGGGACGGAGCCCGGTTTTCCTAGGTGTGTATGTTGTGGGCAACGACCCTCTGGAAGGGGAGGAGGCAATCGACCAGTCTACCTATTTGGTGTCTCCGGTGTCTCCCTAATCCAAAAAAAGAAATCACACCTATGGCGGCATGTTCTCTTTTTAAACCTTTTTTCCCGCGGCATGGGATGAGAAGATATGAGAAGGGTGGGCACGGTGGGGGTGGGTTTTCACGCGGCATGCTTTTCATGCGGCATGCTGTTGTAGCGGGCGGAATCACCCCGCGAGCGAGCAGAATCGGCAGAAGTGCTCATGACAGGAGCCATGGCAGTTTATCCCAGACAATCCATGGGACTGGAATATTTAGCTACACTAGTGGGTTGAGATGTTTCAAGGGTCAAAGATGGATTGTTTGTTGTATTGATCATGCTGCTTGATCAATCTGTGTGATTGATCTTCGGTGGAAGACAGACGTGGGCTTTCCAAACGACGAAGAAGAACGGACGGTGACTGACGGCACAGTGACCCTGACGAAGCATGGCCAGCGGCCGCTGGTCGCGTCTCAGATCCTTGGAGGGCACTGTCGTCAGAGGAAGCGGCCGTCTTCGGATGGAATTTCATTGGATGTTTTCCCGTCTCATGGAGCCTGTCAGAGGATGGGATTCCCTTATAAACAGGATTATGTGTTTGACTGGATGTGCCTCCATACACCACCTCCGGACAAACATGGTTCTATGATGTTCTTCTTGAAGGTTCCAAATTGACAACCCTTTTTCCCGGTAGAATCCTGCTGCTGACCCTGTCCTGTCACCTCACATGGTCGAATGTCCTCCCTCCAAAGCGGGCAATACATTGACCGTCCCACGCGTTTTCCACGCGTTTGCCATGGACTTCTGAATTCCACCGCGGCTGATCCACCTAGATGTGATAAGACCCGGTAAGAAGACACACTTTATTCCTGAAGTAGTCTAAGCTTTACTGGGAGAACTCATTCCCACAAGAAGGCAAAAGCTTCTCCGTGGCACCGGTGGACGAATGAACTCGTAGAATAAAACGGTTAGACCAGGAGACGTAATCTGACCTCTATAATACTCTGGGTCTTTAGGCACCTCAAAGGCTTTTGAAAGGCAGAGGTTGGTCTGTACTACTACCTGCAACAGTCGGTAAACAGTTGATTATCACTCTGTTTAAACAAGGCCTTTACTAACCATCATCATCCACTGTTATTGGTAATAGGACAGATCCAACGCAGAGGTGTTTTGGCATCTTCCTTTTTGTGCTTTTTCATGTCGATGCCCATGGACAGCGGATGTAAAAACACACGCTTTTGAATGAGGAGCCATAACCGTTGCCCTGTTAAGAGAGTGACTCGGACAACAATCTGAGTGAAGCTTCCTTCATTTCGCAACGCCTATGCTTCTTCGTCTCTGACCACACGAGTTCGGACGCATCTGCTTCGCCCTCACCGCTGTGGCAGTGTTTAACGGTCTCGATTCTCCAGGTGGAGCCATTGCAGATGCCTCGGCCACGGAGCCATTGCATGACGGCCACCGTGCAGTCCTGACCGACCACACCAACGACGTCCGACGTGCTCCCTCGTGGCGGGGCGGGACTCGAGAGGCCATGGGACTCTGAGAAGAGCACTTGGTTACAGCTTGAAGCATATTATGAAGAGATATATACTGTATATATAATATGTATGGTTATATTATAATGAAGAATCCATTACAGTGATTATATTGCAGTGCTTTCCTCAAGCATCATGAGTTTCAACAATGCATATCATATCTTAGTACATAGTAATTAAGCATGTGTTTGCTACTTTGATGTTGATGGGCACTGTTTACTGACATAGCAGTTAGCATGGAGAAACCGTGATTCTTTCGGGGAGCAAGAGACACCGGCAATGGAGACACCAATCCCCAACACATGCCGGAATTTGACGATCAATCGCTTGCATTTGCAATGTATGATTCTGCATTCTGTAATGGTTTTACGTCTCCGCTTGATGAATTGACAGGACAAAATGTGTGCATGTGCTCTTCCACCATGAGTTCATCTTGGGTGACAAGTGCTTGAATCCAATCCAATCCAATCCAATCGAGTCCACTAAGTGGTTCTCTTGGCCCGTTCGCGGCGGGTGTTCTCATGTGTGTGTGGGTCCCATCAGAGGATGATGCCTACAGTTTCGATCCTTTTTGTGCCACCTTTTTGTCTCGTTCAGGTGGGGTGGTGTCGTGTGAAATGTCGCGTACACACCGCCCACACCGCTGTTTTGTGGGGTAGCGCCATGTGCATGGTGCTGATTGGATGGCCCATAACCGAAACCAAAGACCCAGTCAAGACGGGGCGGTTTTTTTTGCACAGAACATCCACAGCTATCGTCGGGTGTCCGTTTTCTTCATTTATTGTTCTTGTGAGTGACATGTCTTTTGTTCAGACTGAGACTGTCACTGAGATACAAAATATCCAGCCACTCGCTAAGCCGCGATATGAGTAAGTGAACAAGGTTGACCTTTGCTTGTGGTGCCAGTAGTGCCTATTTGGAGCTGCACCAGTTTCCATTTCTTGGCTGCTTGGAGAACTCCGCTAACGGTGAACACGTCCTCTCCCTAACCGGCCTAAACCCATTCCAAACTCCACAGGTTTTCACCCGTTTTCACCTGTGTTCACACGAACGGGGCCGCAGGGCCGTCCTCTCAGCAAGGACCTGCCAAGTTCGGCGCAGAAAAAGACCCCCCCGCCATCGTTCCACCGGTGCTTGCGTTCCACTGGCGCACGGCCTTTGGCATTCGTAAACAATGGAATTCCATGAGGTTTGGTGATTTTTTTTTGGGGGGGGAGCAGACATGGATGGTGTTTGATCCACAGACGGCTCAGACCAAAAAGGTGGCTCAGACATGGTGACAAGGCAAAAAGGCTCAGTCTTGCAAAGCTTTCATACATGCCTTCACGAGCGAAGGCAGTGTTCGAGTGCGAGTGTTTTCAAACAGATTCAATCCATTTGCAGCCCCACCATGAGTTGATCCCCCATGCCTACATGAGGATCGTTTTCAGGTGTTTTGTTTTGTCATGTTTTGCCTACATGGATAAGGTGCTGGGACCTTACAACGTAAGTCCTCAGTCCTCAGTGGACCATGGCCCATGGGACCTGACAGGACCATGGACCGACAAGGGTACTGTAGGTAGATAATCCACACATGGATTGTTAGGGGAAAGCTATGTCGGGTACCCGAAGCTGGGCCATATTCCCCACAGAGACCTTCTGTGAATAGGCTCGTGCCCACATGGCTCGCTCGTGCCGTGGAACCCTGCTGACAAACTTAGAATGTTTGAAGGCTCAGTTTGATAGCCAGCATCCAGGAGGTGTTGGAGAATTTGAACAAACCGCGCTGAAGATGTGCACAAACTGGCGTGCTGCAAGATGATCTTTGTCTTCTTGTACATAGGTCACGGATCGCTACCATGACAAACATCTCTCTTTCTTTCCCTGACCCAATCCAACTTTTAGCTTGCTTTGTTCAAGTCTACCCTTTGGGCGGAAGTGACATGGAAGGTCAGTGCTTAACCAGATAGACTTGAATCTGTTTTTTTTGGGGGGGGTTGTTTTGGAGCAAGAGCAGGTATTGCGGGAAGCTGTGATAAGTGTTAGACCGTTAGACCTGGTTCTCTCTTCAACGGCACGATAAGTCTTAGGTGGATGCCCAGATGCCATGCGTGTACTCGTTCAGTGCTTGGGTGTTACCAGACTGAATCCTGTGGATACCTATTTCGATGTTGCCACCATTTGTTGAAGGTAAATTGACTCACCTGAAATGCAGTTCTTTGGTGTGAATGACTGCAACCGTAAAACTCCGTACTGGCATCACCATGTGAACTTGCAACATCAATTTGCACCTACTCCCCGAAACGAACCACGTGTCGGACGGTCAAGACGGTCGATGTCGGAGATCCGTATAAGACTGGATCGGTAACAGTATAACCGTAAAACAGACACCGGAGATCCAGTGTTATATATAATTACGTGACATGTTTTTTTCACCGGACAAACCTGCGCTGCTGTGTCATAATAGATGGTTTTCTTCGTCCAACAATCTGGCGCAGCAGTAGGGCGCAGCACATTTCTTTTCCCCGACACCCAAATTCTTCACCCCCAGACTGTGCTCCCCAGTCACAAAAAGGGTGCAACGGGTGGTCGTGTTCGTACGACAGATAGGTCGTGTGGGTGGTCCCACACATTTTGCAGTGGGTCAAAACCTCCCTACAAACCATGGAGGGTTGACATCCCTTGAGGGTTGACATCATGAAGAATCTGTGCATTTTTGTCTGTGGTGGAAAAAACCAAGGGAAAACCCCTCTACCACTGCCATGTTAGTATGGGGCTTGATGGGGCTTGTCTCAACAGAAGTCCGCGTCGGCTTAATTCTGCGCGACAAAGAACCCATGCCTATATAGATTTAGCAGTATATATATATATATACCCGTACCCTATGCGTCCATTTGACCCCTGTTTTGATAGGAAGTATTCCCAAAAGCATCTCCGATGCTTGGGTTCTCGTTTAGTCGCTAGTGCCGGGGGAGAGCGAGGAAAAGCTTACGTTGTCGGGGACGAAAGATGGAGGTGGAGGTGGACGGGGTTGGGAAGGGAAGAGGGAAGGGAAGGAAGAGGGAGGGGAAGGAAGGGAGGGGAAGGAAGGGAGGGGAAGGAAGGGAGGGGAGCGAGACGGGAGGCGCACGGGTGGGGACGGGGTTGGGGAGGGAACAGATGGAGGGGAGCGAGACGGCAGGGGCAGGGGTGGGGACGAGAAGATGGAGGGGAGCGAGACGAAAGGTGCATCGATGGGGACGGGGCTGGGGGAGGGAAGCGCAGGGGTGGGGACGGGGTTGGGGAGGGAATAGATGGAGGGGAGCGAGACGGGAGGGGCATGGGTGGGGACGGGAAGATGGAGGGGAGCGAGACCCAGAACCCGGAACCGAGTTCCCGGTTGCAAGTGAGGCGCAACATGATGGCCGAAGGACAGGTGACGATGAAGGTGACAGTGGACAGGTGGACTGGAAACCAAATGGCTGCAATAAAAGTGAAGTTCTGAAACAAATGAATTTAGAGCCTCAGGCATATATATATATATACACATGGACATATACATCCCACATCCCCTCATCCCAAAAATGCCTCATCCCACATCCCACATCAAAGTTGTTGTAGAAGTATCACGCGCAGTATCCCACAAATGTTAGGCCTCCATCGCAGATGCCAAGACGGGTCAAACCTCAAACACCTGAGCAATGACATGCAACAGTCTTTGTAAGATAGATATTACCTTAATATCTTAACCTTTGACTAGTGCAATCTATAGTTCATGAAGACTTGCACCTGTTATCCCGCAACCTCTAAGCCTTACTTTGTGACTCTTTGCAACAGTAACTCTGAGAAGCTGGCAGAGGATGTCAAAGATCTTCAAAGTGCGCCCGCCCTACTACCCGCCCCAGCCCGCAAGAAACAACATCGGAAAAGCAATCAGAGATTGATCTGACATTCTGCATCTGACATCTTTGATACCATCTGACATCTTCGACATCCACACCTGGATGGAAAACAAATCAGGAAAACAGAGTAGAACAATCCTCAAATTTTTTTGCACTGTAAAGTAAACAATCTGATCTAACTCTAAGAGGTGAATTTTAGAGGTACAGTCTTATATCCCACATGATGTGTGTTTTTTTTCATCTAAAAGTTCAAATAAAAAATTGCAGAGTTGAACATTGCAAGTTCCTAGACTAAATGCCTTCCTTTCCAGTCTTGCAGGCACAGCTAATGTGGGCTCAAATGTAATGGACAAGTCTAAGTACTGGCTTGTGAACACTGTTTGCCAAATTCCAAAAAATATGTATATGTGTTGCACTACATTATGGACAAGTAAAGACAGCAGCTAGTTGGAGAGTCAACACACGTTGCTGATGGTGGTGAATCGGCTGATAGTTGCTGAATAAGACAGTTGAGAAACATATTTGTCCCACTCCAACTCTGAAGTTTCATGATGCTCCAGATTGACATCTCGAAATTCCACATTAACTATACTTCGAGTGATCCCAGCCCTGAAAGTTAAGGTGATTGGCAAGGGTTGACATAATGTTCTGACACTTGTTCTGGCATCAAATCTGGTTTGTGCTCTGACACATGTATCTATCATTGTGTTCTGACAACGTTGGTGGGGCAATCTGTCCTGTCTGATGTCCCTGTTTCTCAATTATGCCAGAAGATATGTACCACACACACAAAGACCCAAATGCTATGAAAGTTTTGAATACCTTGGTGATGGCTTCAGAACCGCGATGCTTGAAGTATCATAGTTGCCACGAAGCCTGGAGGGGGCTGATGCTTCGTTTTGGCCTGCTAATTTGTTTTTGTTCATTTTTCCTGGGTTGTGCGCTTCTTTTTGCTTTTGGGTCCGCGGGCTCACCTTGTTTTTTGTATATGTTTGATTATTTTTATATATGAGGTCACTCTGGTTCTAGGTCACTGCTGTAATGCTACCATGCTACAAAAAACATTGGTTCGCTTGCAGCAAATTCGATGACATGAGGAATCTTGAACAGATTGAATAAAAGGTGCTATTTAGAGACGTCTTTCATTCTCTTCTTCATTCACA